TGTTTGACAAATTGTGACACTTTAAAAAAAATACACATACTTTTTATCATATAATAAACTAATTATGATGTGGTAAAAATTACTTCAATCAAAAAATATTTAAAAATAAAAATTTCGATATCTATCTTAAATTCAATCAAAAAATTTATCTAGATTTAAAATATCTGCTAATTCAAGTAGTTCCTATTTTGATATTCTTAATTTTATTAATTTCGTGAGAACGTGACTATCAACGAGAAGTTTATCGCAAAGGTTAAGTGTCAATCTATTGAGTAGCAAAAATTTTTTTATGTATGTCCTATCACCATTTAATAGAGTTGCAAAAGAATTTTGCTGAATTATGTACATACATAAAGTTATTGTGGTAAACCAAGCATGAGAGTGGAAAAAGAACAAAAAGTTAAAAACACCTATCAACTCAAATCATAAAAATAATAATAATTAAAAGATGAGTGAAGAAACCGTTTTGCACAAAAAGAAAACATTGAAATTATTTACAAACTAATTAAACTTTTTTTTTATTATATACGTACATTAACAATCCAAAAAACTATTAAACTTTTTATAAAAATTAATACTAATAATAAAGTAAAACACCGAAATAATGCAGAAATATTGAGAGTTCCTATAAAGTTTAGAAAATTGGAAATTCCGCCAAGAGTCAAAAGAATCTCATGCCTGTTATAAACTTACATGTGAAAAAATGCATCTTTTCATCAATGTTAAAAGAAAGCAGGTTAAAGTAATAAGAGATTGAAATTTCAATGCTTAAAAATTTTCACCATTTAAATACAATGAATGATTTATTTTAATGATAAAAAAGAGCTCAGGGAAATTACAAGAATAATCAGCATTTTGGAAATTTATTTGAAATTCATTTACAAATATTATTGATATATTTTAAAATATTTAAAAAATGACAAAACTACATATTATTATTTGAAATTTAAAACGCTTTTTCAAAAAAATTTAAAAAAATCTATTCTTTATAGGTAAAAGAGCAATGTTTTTTTTAAAAAAAAACTAAGCGGGTTAATAATATTTCTTAGAGTAATTTGTCCACTATAACCCCGAAATTAATAGAACCGGACAAGACCTGGGCACCAAGTTGTCATGGTGCTTAACAATTTGCACCTGAATTGTACAAAATTTTTTTTTCATTTTTTACCTCATAATCTAAATTAAAAAGTAGCTAAAAATACAACCTACACAAATATATACACATATTTTTTCCTTTTTTAAAAAATGTAGTAATACCTTGACAACCATACTTTATGAAGAGTCACAAAACTTGGTCGAAGGATTTTGTTTGTTATTTGGATCAAAAAAAGAGGCACTAAAAATATTTTCAAATTAATATATATATATAGTAGAAAATCATTATAAAGTGTTACTGTCAACTTAATTACTTCGTCACGCAAAGATATGGGTCACATAGAATTTTGTGTTATTTAGATCACCTCACACATTATTATATTAACCTATTAAACATGGCAATATAAATCTGAAACAAATCAATATTAATACCTTAAAATAATTTTTAAATATGCTCTTAAGACACAAAAATATGCTTTAAAATATTTCTCAATTATGCATCAAATAAAAGTTAAAATTATCAAGATAATTAGAACTATAAAAAAAAAAATCTATTTCCATTTGCTCTAGAGATTGTAACCTCTTGGCAAAGGATTTTTCATATAGTTTATGAACTTGTTCTGTGAATAGTTCTTGTAAGTTACAGAAAATTCTTAACTGCAATTTTCATTGTTTATACCCACAAAAAAAATATGGTTTATAAAGAAGTGCAGTTTATGGAATTGCCTTACACTGATCTTCTACGGTATACACACAGCACATTATTTAGCATTTAAACTCATACATTTGAATTTGTTGAAATGCAACATAGGTCATTATGCACATAAAGATATATTTTAGAACATATTTATGCAAGGATAAAACTATTATTAATTTTTTATACATAATCGTGTATTAAATTTATTACTAGTTCTTTCCTATTTATGCAGAAATAGTTAATAAATTTCCAGCAAAGGGCAATAAAACACAACATAAAATGAATCCCTGGACAAAAAAAAAAAAAAAAAAAAAAAAAAAAAAAGAGCTAAATTTTACAAATATGTCAGTTCTGGGTACATGTCAATCAGTACTGTTTTAAAAAATTTACTAAAGAGTAAATAACAATTATTAAATACGAGGTAAATGATGCAAATGTAAACCTGTGCAAGTTTATGTTTTTATGTACATACACAAAAACAAAATATTCAATAAGATAAACATAAACAATGTTTAATATGGTGAAAAATGCTTAGCACAGTTTGGCAATGACACTTTCAACATTAAAATGAAATTGAGCGCAAAATAATGAATATAGTATATGAAATAGGCACAGGCAAAATCTGTAGGAAAAAGCCTATTTAATAAGAAAAAAATCTTATGTTTCATTAAAGGCAACTAATTTTCAATATATAGTCACATACGTTCCTTGAGAAAAAGTTGAGGAAAAATTCTCGGAGCATTATATGAGCAGAGAATAAAAATGCATATACTACTAACATTTCATTTACAAACATATAAAGAAAAACTTTATAACAAGCCCATCCAACTCTGCCTTTGAGTATTGTGAAACATTGAAAAGTTTGAAAATAATGGAAAATATAGCAAGTTCAGCAATTTTATGAACATAAATAAATAGAAAATGGTAATTTGTTATAAATAAATATATAAAGATAAATTGTTTTAAATCAAACAAAGAATTTTGTAAGAATTATTCTAATTTCATATTTATTTTATCGAAATGAACACATTAAGGGTATTTAAGTTTTTGGCTTAAAAATCTAAGAAAAACATAAGTGAACAATGAGCATTTTACAACCATCATTTTTTTTTCCTTTATAAAATAAGTAAGAAATCTGCTACCTTAAAGCATGCAACATAAATGTTTTAAAGGCGTTTAATGCAATTGTGTATGAATTAAGGCATAAATTTCATTTTGTATCTAAACCAGAGGTCATACTGAGGACACATGACAGGGAGTCGCTATGATACTTTTTAGTTTCTATAAACTTTATTTCATATCTTCTTCTAGATCATTGCTTAACCAATGGAGAGCACTGGGTAAAAATGAAGTATACATAAAAATTAGTCAATTGTACATAGTGCTTGAGTTACAGGGCATAGCTGGACTCATCAGTAAAAAAATTGGTGCATATTATTCTAAAGGTTAGCCCCCCTTGATCTCATCTATCTTTAATTTTTTAAAGAATATGAGAATTGATACATGGCAAGAAAAGGAACAATACATTAAAAAACGTTTTACTGATAATTATTAATAATTAGAACATTTAAATACAATTTCAATTTTTTAAAACTAAGTTAGACCTTTTTTGTAAGTTTAATTTAGTGAAAAAAAAATCAAACAAATAAATAAGTTCAATGCACCAAAGAAAATAAATTTTAATTTATAGCAAAGAAAATTGTGACTCAAAATAATAGTTGATATAAAAATCATTTTATGCAGACTAAATTGATTCCTTCAAATATACTCAATCCAAAAAGATGTACTTTAAAATGAGTAGTACAAGTAAATAAAAATTTAAAATATTATTAAATATTAATAATTAAAATTATTTTTAACAAATATTTGATAAAAACTTGATATATTAAACATTATTTTTAATAAACTTTCATAATAGTAAACAACTGCTAAAAAAGAATAAAACTTTTTTATATGAAATAATTAAAGCAACTAAAAAAAGTAACATTAATCTTAAAGTATAAGGCTTAGAGCAATTTGAAACCAAAATATTTAATTTCAAACATAATAAAAGTATTATTACTATTAGAGAAAAAAATTGTTAAATTAAAATGTAATAAACATCATAATTTTCTAAGTCTCTAAAAATATCATTTCTGTTAATTAAAAACAATTATCTGTGATTTTGGAAACTTTTTGTGTAATGCATGCAGGTGGTTTTTAATTTTCTAAGTACGCTAGGAAATAAATATAACTTAATGCATCATGTACAGATTGAAAATTATTTATCTTTATCTAATAAAAAATGAAATTTCACACAAAAAAGTGCAATCTAGTACATTTTACAAAACATTTAAAAGTGCTACATTGTTTGTAGTTAGATATTGATAGTTTTATTCAAAACCTAACTTTTAAATAGTTATTAATTTGGCGACAAATGTAAAATATATATACTCAAACATAACAATACTTATAAACATTTATTAATATTTATTTTTCAATATTTTAGGTTCATAAGATAGACATCGAAAATTTAATTTTCATAAAATTCAAGAATTCATAAAATTTAAAAATGAATAATGATTCATTCAACTATACATGCTTGTGCTACAGTTGAAATACAAAGTTTCACATTTAAAGAAACAAAAACAATTAACAAAATATTAAAAAGATAAATGTTACCTAGCCTAGATTAAAGAAAAAACCTTTCTATTACAAAACATCTAAACACAATGTAAATTCATTTTTAAAGAAATGAAAAAAATCAGTGTATTACATAAATCACTTCAGAAAATAATAATTCTTTTTTTCATTTAAAAAATGTAATGTTAAACACTTTTTAATGATAATATTTTTTGGTAACTAAGTCTCACCAAAATAAGATATTTAATGAGTAAAATAACAGTAATTTAATAAGAGTTTTTTTTTATCCCTTAAGTTTAAAACAAAATTCTTTTAAAACTGATAAGTTTAAAAAGCTTTATAGTTGGTTGATATTAAATTTTGAAAAAATTAGGTAAATCTTACTCTTTAAGTAAACCAAATTTTTTAAACTAAATAAATTAACTTGAAAAGAAATTTTAATGCTATAACTTTCTCTTTAAGCATAATCATTGTCAGATGATACTCAGCTGCCAATAAATAATATAAAACCATGTTTGTCATGAATAAGAATGGATAATAATGTATCAATAGTGATTAGAGATATAAAATAGTGATTGTATTATCATAGTAATAAGTATTATAGACTATTTAACAATATTTAGAATTAGTTTAAAAGTAAACTTTCGAAAAATAAACTATTACCACTAATAAGTAACATTACTTACAGAATATCTTCTAATGAATATGTGGTAACTTTTGGCTCTTATGACTTTCCTCTTCTTTTATTATATAAACTAATAAAACATTTTTTAATAAGCACCATATTTTGATATTTTCTTTCTTTATCAGTATTTGCCCATAAAAATATCCTTACCTTTTCATGGAAACAATTTTATTTCTTTAATTAAGGTTTGTTCTATGCAACTTATAATACACACTAGTGTCCCTTGATACTTGGGAGTTAACTGTATTAAAGGATTTCAAATATTATGTAAGCATTGAAACCATGGGAGGTGATTTGAAACTTGATAATTTTTGCTTAAAAGAAGGAATATGTTGAAGCTGTTTTTATTAAAGAACTAAAAATCATCAAAAGGAGAAATGTTTAAAACACAACCTTTAACACTAATATAAGAGATGATAATTTTTATTTTCAAAGACATTCAAAACTGAATGAAAAAATTACAATTACAAAAAGTGTTGTAGGAAAGAGTTAAGAGTACATAGTGTACAGCATCTTTAGATCAATATATTCAAAAACCCATTTTTTTTCTACCAATCTTCACTATAGATAATTATAATAAACAAAATTAAGTATATGGACTAATTACAAAATAATAATAAAAATAAAATAACAAAACAAAATATGAGCATTTATTACCCTGATTCTTTATAATGCTATAATATTCTCTAGCTCTAAAATAATATAAATCTTTAATTATTGCTAAACTTTAAAACAGCATGTATTAAAATAATGAAAAACCTATATAATAAACAAAGAAACAACACAATTTAACTGTCACAATTTAAGTCAATTGACAAAAATTACTTTGATTTAGGCTGGATAATTAAAAGAAAGTATTCCTTAGAATGTTTTTTTTTTTTTAACATACAGAAAAGTATGCAAAGGGTAGACTTGCTAACTTTTTCTAACAAGAGTGGAAAAGGGAGTCAACTCTTTTAAAACACAAAAATGCTTACATGATATTTAGAGAAAAAAAAAAACTTTTAAACAAAACTGAATAAAACATATATGAAACAAAAAAGGAAATCAAATGTAACACTTTTTAGAAAATTCATCATTATCAACATATGACTACAATTTATTACATGAAACATTTTAACTTTAAATATTTTCATCACACATAGCTCATACATCCATCAAAAATATGGCTGCCATTTCTTTCATAATAAGCGGACATTGACGACTAAAGAAGTACAGATATCAATAGGCAAACAGATAAATAAATTTTCTTATAGATATTTATTTCTTTGTTTTTCAATTTTTAATTTCGTAACTTCAGTTTGTAATAGCTTTAAAGTTTCCTGCAATGTGTTGTTTTCATGCTCAAGCCTCCTTATCTCTCTGCGTGATTCAAGGAGTTGTTTTAATTTATCATCACTTACAGTACTGCGTAGCATGCTCAGTTCTTGTCTCAGAATGTCATTTTCTTGTTCTAAATTTTTCATAAGATTTAATTTCGATCGAAGTTCTTTGTTATCTTGAAGTAATCTAGCAACGGACAGTAGTTCGTTACTGGATGTATCACAGACAAAAGCCTCTAAACTCTCACCATTGCCACATGATTCAGTATGATTAACATTAGGTTGTTTCGAAAGGATTTTATGAGGAATGCTATGATTCAAGAGATCGCCTAAATTCTTTTGAACATATCCTGCAAATAAAAAGGGTTTAGTCAAATATAATTTACAATTTCATTGAAACACATTCTTAATAATTTATAAGAGAAAAAAATAAAGTTATTTGATGAGAACATCATTTGAGACGTATTTGAAAATTGATTTTTGAAAATTGAGTACAAATAACAGTTAGAATTAGAAACTTCCCAGAAAACAAATATTTGCAGTTTATAGATAATTCACTACATTTTTATCTTTAAATAAAGAATTTGCAATTAAATATGAAATGAAGTTTAAGTACTTTACAAACAATTAAAAATATTATTTTCATCGACTCTTAAAAGCAAATATTGCAGTAGTAACGATTAGCAGTGTATGTAGTGATTATGGTACTGGACTGTGATTGTGAAAAACTGGGGTTTGATCCTCCGTGGATGCTTTAGTCCTACCCAGCTTCAGATCAATGGGTACCATCTTCGGAGCCTTAACCATTCATGGTAAAGCATTCTCACAACAGGTTGTTGTGGAAATGCTTTACTTTTTACTTTTCAAAAATAAAACAAAAAGAAAAATTCATAAATGAAAACAAATGCGTCTGCAACATTTGTTCAATTAAAATTGTGTTAAAAAAGCAAATTGCACTTATTTTTTTAAAAACTAATTTTAAATTGTGGATAAAATTTTGAAAAATGATTCTTAAAAACCATTTATGAAACAAAAAACATTATCTTTTTTTTAAAAAAATTAAACTGTAATAATAATAAACACACTTATATGAATAGAAATACAGCTGGTAAACTAAAAGTGCAAGAAACATCAAAATATTTTTTGAAACAAATCTTCATTTAAAAACAGATTAAATATTAACAGGGTATTATATTTATTGTTTAAAATATTTTTATTTGATTATTGATAAGCTTAAAATATTATGTTACCTCTCAACAAATTATATTTTTTTAGACACATTACAATACAAGATATTCTACTTTAAGGAACCAAACATAAATTTTTAAAACAATTTTGGTACTTCATTCTAATTAAAACGATAAAAAAAACAATAATTTCGAATAAAAAAAATAAAATATTTTGCAAATGTTTAAATGTTTGCTAATTAAAAAAAACTATTAAGTATTTATTTAGTTTCTAAATTAAAGGTATAGTTTGAAGAAGTCGGAATAAATGTTTTTGCTTAAATTTTTAATGGTAAATTAGTTCTTGTTTTTTGTTTAATCTTCTACAATTTCTGTATACAGCAAACCACACCTTTAATAATTTGATTAAAAGCTTCATTTGCATCAAAAATAAGTAAATATGAAATAACAGTTGACAGGTTTCAAGTGCTTAAAAACAGGTTCCCATTTACAAGACTTGCTAGGCGTGAATGAGAAGAAACAAAAGTGGTTTTTCGAAACACAAAACGTAAAGTTGCCAATGAAAAATGAAAAAATAAATTTAAGATACAAAATTAGGAAAACCACAGTAGCCAAGACTGGAAAAATATCATTTTTGTATCTGCTCTTTAAAATCTGGAAAGTCTTGAAAATGGAAGTCTGTTTTAAGCTCCTGAAATAGATCGACTGTTATTTCCTATTTACTTTCATTATTAAAGAGTAAGAGAGTTACTTATTAATATTATTATAACACTTATTAATATTTCTTGAGTTTCACAGTACTCTATTTAATAAATAAAATGAGAACATGCTTTATAAAGGGGGGAAAAAACTATTTGAAATATTTCGGCGCTTAAAATGTTGTTTGAGCAATAATTTGATTAGAACAACGAGATTATCTAAAATAATTTGAAAGCCAACTTAATAGATTTGAATGATTTGCTTTGGAAATATAATATTAAGTGCAAGTAAAATACAATTCCTAGGAAGTTTTTGTTAAAGTTTTGCATCATTTTATATTCTTTTTCAAATTTCTCACCTTTTTTTAAATAAAACAAAAATAAATAATTAAATTTCAAAGCAAATTTTTTAAAAATAATTTTTGAGTTGATTTCCTAACATTCAATACAAATACACAAAATATTCACACAAAAAAAATGTCCACTAGTCATTCATGGATTAATATAAATTAAAGTACTCAGGCAAAATTTGGCAAAATACAAAATATTATTAAATAAATCTATATTTAATTTTTCCTCTTGTAAAGTAAGACTAGATAGTGCTTATGAAAAAAAAGCAGAAAAATACAAAATATACCTGGAGGCAAAGGAAGTACACTTAAAGTTCCATCTAAAGTTCTCTCAATAATGCAACCAGGCAAGCTTATGTTCAAAGGAGCTGCATTAGGAGAGACTAAACCAGAAGGAGGTTGCTCTTCCTATGGATGGAACAAGACATAATAATGATAATTTTTTCAACAAATAAAATGTTAAACAACAATCAACACAAATACTTTGGTGATAGTTTAAAAAAATATATATTAAAGGTGTATTCTAAGTGTTCATACAGAAGATATTAACAGTTATTATTACAAAGAAAACTTTATTTTTCAGTCCGGCATTACAAACAAAAATTTCTTAAAAGGAAGAGTAGGAAAAAATTCATTAAAATTTCATTCGGAAAAAATAAAATACTTTAACAATTTCACTATCATAAACAATATACTTTAATCTATCATCAATTTTTGAAGAATTTTTTACCTAATATCTAGATAAATATTTCTCTGCCCCTAACAACAAGTAACTCAATAAATAAAAATAATTATTAAGTTCAAACAGTGGGAATAAAATTTAGGGTTATTATTCAAAAAATGAAACTTAAAAATGTTTGTAAAAGAGCTTTCAAAAACAAATATAACAATAGCAATTGTCAGAATTTGGGCTCTATTGTCCTGTTTTCAAAAATCAAAAAAAAATTTTGTTTTTGTTATATAAGTATAATGTATGACAATCATAATGAATGAAATTTCAATATCAAAAACTTTAGAGAAGCATTTTAGTGAGCTTACAATTTATAGAGAATAGGTTGACAAAAATAAATACTAGATTAGTTGAATAAAGAAAGAGAAAATTGGTGAAACAGCCATAAAAAACTTTTTACACTTTTCTGTTAAACTTAGTACTTTTATGAGATTTTATAAAAAAAAATACCAAAGCAGCTGAAGAAATACATAGTAATTGGAAGTAGTGAAGCCTTTTGACTATTTTTATTCATAAGAATGAGTTAAATATAATGAGCATTACTTTGAAATAAAACTATTAGTTTTAACCCTCCAAACATTGAGCAGTAATGCAGTAATTAATGTTCAGATAGTTAAAAAAGTTCATACATTAAAATAGGAAAATTAACAAAACATTTTATGCATCAAGTTAAAAAAAAATAAATGCTTGCATATTTTAGATAATAAGTTAAAATGTTATGAATCTAAATAATAATCAAATATAACTTATTATAAATTGTAACAAATCTACAAATCTTCATAGTTTATTAAAGTTTTAATGTAAAGAATTTATCACTCCGTTAATTTGATGCAACTCCTTTAAAGATATATTAATTTCTTAAAAATAAAAAAAATCTCAGGATCTCAATAAAAATTTAAGTTTTCTAAAATGTTACTATAAGACATTCTCCTCATACGGATTAAAAAAATTTTAATAAGAAAAGATTATTTTTTTAATTAAAATAATTGAAAATACTTTAAAAGATATAATAAGTTACGTATACTTTTAGAAAACATTTAAGTTTCTTAAAATGTGTAGATAGAATTAAATAAACCACACATAATGTAATAAGTGTTCACATAAATGTAAGACATTTTCTGATTGCACTGCAAAAAAAAACTAATTTGAAAATAGTTTTTTTAAAAATTAAATTACCTGAAAATGTTTTTATTATTATTATTATTAAAGGAAATAGTGGTGAAATAACACATTTTATATACTTTGGATTCCCACCAAAAAGGAAACATTTCAGAATAAAATTAAAAATGTTAAAAAATAATGTATTAAATTAGAATTTAAAAATGATATGAAAGTAAAATGGGGAATTATTAATTATAGAATTAATGTATGCAAAATAAAAACTTAAAAATCAGAAAGTTTATTTAATCCATAAAATAATGCGCAAATTACATAAAAGGAGTTAAACGAGAAAATAACTCTGAATTGATTGCTAAATTAACAATTGTAACTAAAGTAACATTTTATGGTGTCATAAATATCTTTATCCCATAACAAGCATTTGCTCATAGTAATCAGCTGAAGCAATGAGACTTTAAAAATAATGATAATATGAAAGAAAGAGAAAAACATGCCAAAATTAAATTAAATCTACTAGCATTGAAGCAATATGTGAAACCTTTAGCTGAATCGTATAAGAAATAAAACTGGCAAAAAAAATAATAATACCATCTATGAAAAGCTTTTTACACTAAGTTAAAAAGAATACTTAACAAAGAGTACTTAAAAGAATACTTAAAATCTTTCTTTGGTGATTTTCAAAGGGAGATATTCTTCATCACTTATTATTAACATCTAACAGTATTCATGAAACTGGTAACAAAGATTGGTTTAAATGCACAAAACATACAAAAAAATAGACTTTTGTTGCAAATAATTTTTTTGTTAAAATATAAAAGAAAAGGGTAAAATTTATACACAAACCTGTAATTGTACTTGCAGGTTATCTAATATTATTTTAGATGGCATAGGTTTTGCAACAATTTCATCTTCGAAAAATTCCACAAGACCAGATATATTATTCATTTGTAACTGAAGGTATAAATTGCTAGCAAGAACACTTAGAAACCCAGCTCCGAGTTGAGAGTTGTCTTTTTCTTGCATGTAATCTTTATCAAGTCTCATACTGAATTCACAATCTCTGAGAATAACGTCCTTTTCATTTTTCCATGCTCTAGCTCCTTTAAAAAAATAATAATAATAATTAATTAGAAATAGAGATAAACTCATTTATGTCTCAGAATGTAGAGACTGACATTAAATCTGAGTCAGCCAAAATTATTAAAATAAACTACAATGTACAAAAAAGAATGAGAAAATACTTAAAAAATAACTTAATTTTTATAATATTTAATTTAAAATGATTGTAACATGTACACATTTTCTTTTTTTCAGTTTGAATCTCAGTAAATGTTTAACCATCAACAGATCAGGCTCAGTATTACCACCTATTGATTCCAGAAAAGTTAGCAACTTCTCTGCAGACTCTGTGTCTTAATACGAGGATGGTGGTGTTTTTATCAGATTTTGCGTTTTAAAATCATTTAATAAGAAACATAGACACAAATGCAAGAAAAGTAGGTAGGGAGTGATTCTACTGAACGGTTTGTGCAGTAACATCTTTAGTAAACTAGTGCAATTTTGTGATTCAAGGTTTAATGAATGAACTTCACATAGCTATTTTTTTACACTTTTCCATTTACAATTTGAGATTAAATTGGAACTAAGAAAGGGGGAAAAAAAAGGTGATTTTAACCCTTTTTGAAGAGAATAAAATTATCATAAATAGTTGAATAATTTTATTATTAACAGCTTCAATAAAATAATATTTGAGAATTTAAGGGTAAATTTCTCATAGAAAATATTGCTGGTAATAATGAGGTTTTATATATGCCTTTTAACATCAAACCAACCATTTTTTTTTTAAAATTTCTTGCTTAATCTAGTAGCGATGCTAAATTAAATTGAATGAGCTTGAGAGCGTTTAAATTTCATTAAATAAAATATTTCTACAATTTTTTTTAAAAACATCTTGAAGCAGAAACTTTAAAAAAAGTGTAGTTTAACCTTAAAAAGTGGCATCCACTTTAGGATGAACTTAATTCAGTAAGTGAGCTGAATTACATTACTGTAAAATATGAATAATATATATATAAAAATTTATTTTAAAATTTAAGCAATAATTAATGCTAATCTATTATAGTTTACCATGATCCTATTATAGTTTACCATGATCAATTGGAGTATAATTGCAAAATAATAATAATAAAAAAATGAAAATAAGCACTATATGACTTGATGTAAATACATCTCTCTTTCAATTTGTAGTACTTAATTCACAAAGCACAAAATTCCCAGAAAATAAGTTATTGGAAAGAATTTATAATGCTGTCAGAGAATTCCAACATCACATGTAGAACAGTCAAGCATTTTAATTTCACTATAAATTTATTATACAGCTTAAGGTTTTTTTTTATAAATAATTATTTTTACATACTAACATTAGGTATAAAGATATTTTAGACAAAAACGCATCCTTAGAAATTTGCCTTTATTTATTACAATGTTAATTAATTTCTCATAAAAAACATCTAAGTTCAACTTTTAAGAATAAATAAATAAAAATAGTTATATTAATAAAATGAAAAATAATGAGACATAAACATTTCCAACAAAAGTCATTATTTAAAATTATGCCACACATTTTGAAGTTGATCAGAAGTCAAAATCTCATAAAGTGAAAATAAGTCTAAATCTTAACTTCAAAAAGGACAAAATTTGAGTTATGTTTCTCTTCTTAAATTTAATAATTTAAAGAGCAAATTGAAGTTTTGTATAAATAACATTTATACAGAAAAGTCTAATTTTACTAGCTAGTAAAGTGAAAGCATTCTATCTATCATAAAGTATAGTTATCAATAATAATCAAAAGGGGAAAAAATGAGCACAAGTTTAACGATTCAAGGTGAGAAAAAAATATGTTAACACAGTACAATTTCAACTAATAATTATGAAAATTACTTGTGGAAAAATAGTTCTGGAAATTTTCCCATGATATTGCAGATTCTTCCTTCGTCTCAATCTGATCACAATGCAATAAAATACTAGTAGCTAATTTTGAATGGAAAATACACCCAACTTTGCCGAACTTGAATGTTGTAATTGAAACCTATAATAAATTTTTTCGTAAGCTGATATGTTGGAAAAAATATATTTTAACAAAAAAGATATCTGAAGATGTAAGATAACTGAAAAAAGATATCTGAAGATATATAGTAACTGAAAAAAGATAGCTGAAGATGTATGATAACTGAAAAAAGATATCTGAAGATAACATTTCAAAAATATCGTTACCATCACATGATTTATGTTAAATTATTTTACCTCTTATATAATCTTTCCTGATTTAATATCTATTGCTTACTTTAGGTTCAACAGTTTACTTATGTATTTCAGTTATGCTAGCTTCTTTCGATTTTGACATATATCATAATATAATTAATATATAGAAAATATATAATATATAGAAACAGAATATTTTAAAAAATTACACCTTTGTCTTAAAGTAACAAAAATATTTTTTTATTAAACAGTCATCATCAGCGTATGCTAAATGCCATAACTTATCAGAGATAATGACAAATTATGATAACAAAAATGGTTTTTATTCGCTATAAACAATGAATGAATGCTGAATGTTGACATTGGCCATTATAAGTGTGAAGTAAGTTCTTGAAAAAAAAGTGACTAAGTGAAGGTTAACATTCATAAGAGAGTGTCAACTTTCGACTACTGTTGTTATGTAACTGTTGTTATGTAACCATTGCTATTTTATCCTTTAAGAAGAAAAAAAGAAAGTTAAAATTTTTTAAAACTATTTTTCTTTCAGTTTAGAAACATGTGTCTATAACAATATTGGATATTATTTGATAAGAAATTGCCTAAAGTTCTTGAAAAAAAAAAAGATAGTAACAAATGCTGTAAAATTTAAGGTAACTGTGCAAACTTAAAAACAAGTTCATTATTTTTGTTTATCACATTTTAAGTCAACAAATATTTTTGATAACATTCCTAACATAGATCCTAAAGAGGAGGTATTTGATAGGCAAGAGGAAATTAATTTGTTTGATTGAAAAGATATAAGTTTCTGTATATTCTAAACAAGCAGTAATTTTGACCCATTTTAGAGACTTTTTAAAATATGTTAAAAAGCATGCATATTTTATAAATTGAATAGAGAGACATCAGTAAATTTGGCTGAAGCAAGGTCAAAAAAGTTTGGAAAAAGACTGTTTTAAAACATAAAAAAAAAAAAAGAATTTCGAAAAATAGAATATTATGTTAAATTGCTTGACAGCTCTTCAATATAAAATAATAATAAATCTTAATTACTCATGTAATAGTTTATAAAATTTTGATTTTACAAATTTAAATCACATATTTAACTGTTTTAATCACAACTACTTTTCTGAATTGTTTGTCTAGACTCTAATTCTCATGTCGTATGGTTGTTTTCAAACAGCCAAAATGAAATTAAAAAATTATGCAACCAGAAAAATTATGACACAACTTCCATGTTGTTTAATCCCTACAGCAATTACATACATAGAAATTTAGATATCATAAAAAAAATTACCATTTCCTTTTTCTTTTCACTGTTAAGTGTATAATTGCTTATAATGGAGCCTTCTTTCATTCTGCTCGCAACATCAACTCCTATCTCAGGTCTAGCATGCTGAAAGAATTCATCATCCAAAGAGCCATCCTGATTTACTAAAACAAACTGATCTAAATCAGAGGACAAATCACTTTTGATAGATATTGCATCATCATCCGGAAAGGAAGAGTTTTCAACATCAGTCGATGAGTAAGCATCACTCTTCGTCAGGGCAGAATCAATGCTTGCAACCAGAGAGCACAATCCTCGTTTCATGGCGGACGTTCCACTCTGAAACCCTTTCTGAAATGTTTCTGTTGCAGCAGATGGTTGGATTTCTTGAATAGGTGTATCTAGACCTTGTGATGAGCCTGATGAGTGACAGTTGAGCAAGGAATCACTACAAGATTTTGGTAGTCCATTCTCCATGCAACAGTCCTCCAAAAGACCAGAGCAAAGAGTTTCTTGATTAGACCTCTTCGAAGGATTATCGTAGTCCCCAATAGAAAAAGAGCTTTTCGACTGTAAGATTTTCTTTCCGTAATTATGCGGGATATCACTTGCACTTGAGCAATCTTCTTGTAGTGATGCTAAATCTACCGAATCTGATGTTGCAGACATCTGATTCAAGTTCCTTAATACTAATGACAGTTCAACTTGTGGCAACCAAACCGATGTACACAGGGATAAGACAGGTTTATTTTTGATGATAATATTAGTATCAATTTCCAAATGCTCCATCATGTCAGTAAGAATATCAGCAGCTCTAAGAACAAATAAATATTGGAAATGTGACAGCTGAATATTGACTAAGGAATCAACATGTAACAACAGATAAATGTCTGCTTCATCAACATCATGTTCATTATTATTGTAATTATCATTCATTATTGGAGGATTGGTTTCTTCACTTGAATTTATATTAATATTATTTTGGCACACATATGATTGAAGGTTTGGTAAATGAAGTTTCGAACTTTCCACTCCATTTGTAGTCAATGAGTTTCTTAAAACTTCTTTAGGTTTCTGAGAACTGTAAAACCAAATTGTAATAGGAAGAGGATCTATGAATGGTTGAAGTCTGATTCTGCCCGACTCACACACTGTGAACTCAGCCCAAAATGGATCTAAGTAAATACTCCAAATGTCTGTTGATTCTGTTAAAATATCTTTTGATATACTAATCGGCAAAGTACCATGTTCTTTACCTACATCAAATGAATGAGATAAGGTAACAGAATGTATTTTAAATGCCAACTAATTGAAAACAATAAATTTCAGTACATTGGAATAGAATGATGAATTTGAAAATAATTTATTTTTAAAAAAATAGACAAATTAACAGTACGTTAAAAGATTAATTCAATGAAAAATTAGAAATTTGCAATAAAAGATCAGCAATGATATTTTAATTTCAAGAAATGTAAGCAAAAGATCATAGAAAGTAACTTGCACAATCTTGTAAAAATAAAATATTAGTTTAAACAAAGAGTTATAATTCTATGCCACAATCAAATTACTAAATGACAACTAATAAGTTTTAGGAAGCATTATAAACAAGGTTGGCCAAAATCATGATTTTTTTTCCTTTTTTTCCACATTTACCAATCATAGCATTGAATAAAATATTTTAATACTTAATATTATTAAAAAAAACAACAACATTATAGCTAAAAAGATTCATATTTCTTACTAAAATGGTTAAAATTATTATTTAATTATTAAAAACGAATCATTGAATAAATAAGATCATAGTTATATTTTTCAAGCTCTACTTGCCAATGAATGTTAAAGATTGGGAGATTATTTGTCAATTAGATATTTAATGAAGAGTAAATTAAATAAAACACAAGAATTTCAACTGATTTAAAAGCAATCCGAAGATTTAAAGAATGAAATTTGGTCTTTGGTTTGTCTCTTGCACAGTCTAAATGCAATCACTTTGGGACATTTTCCAGAAGACATGAATTTTGATCCTATTCCTTTGTCCCATTCCAGAAGGCAGGGATGAGATTAGCCAAAAGGCAAAAAAGCTGAATTTCCACGATAGTAAATTTTACGCCTTTAACAATAAATTCCAGACAGTTTAAGGTAATAAATAATGTGTTGACATACAATTGTGTACTAATCTATTATTATATCAATGATTACATTGATACTCAACATTTAGTGAAAATAAAAATAAATGATATTAAAATCGTGTGAATAAGAATCGAGATATAAAATTTCAGGCTTGGGACCTCTAAAAGACTTGTCAGAAACAGCGTCGTTTGAACTACAAAAATCGGATCTCTCTGGAGGGCGGGTAAAAAATTCGGAAAATCTTATCTGCTGCGAGTAAAAGGGGAGAAAATAGCTAAAATAAGTAAAAATGAGAAAGGATTGGTGGCTGTTGCTACGCCCGTTGGCTTCTTGGCGTCATTGTTCTCAGCCAAGAGTCAGTTAATGTAAAACAACCAAAGAGCATACACGCTCGGTTTTTGCATCTCCGCACCCGCAAAATAAATTGTTTACAGCCAAAATTGTCCAAGTTTGATTTTTATACACCTCGCAAGCTATCGCAGAACAGTGGCTATGTAGTTTGAATTTTCTGAAAAAGCCGAATACTTATAAAAAAGGGAAATTTTTAGAAAAATCTAAATTTTTGATAAAAAAAAAAGCTAAAATTTAAGAGATAAAAGTGAAAAAAGCGGAAAAATCTCATCCCTGAGAAGGTTAACTGTTGTCAATCAAGTCGTTAGGTTATACGTATGAAGGATCTTGAAATTAAGACAATCTGTCCCAAAGAAATGACTGTTAGTTATTTAGGTTATTCAAAATATCAAATAAGCATAAAATACTATATTGTGTTCATTTTTTAAAAAAATGTTAGTCAACTTAAAAAAATTTTTTAAAGGAGTAATTTTATTCTAGTTTTTATTAATTTTAAGTATGATGCGTAAACGGAAGATATTAACTGAATTTAAAAAATTTTACATCATTTTTATTCTTTTTACAAGAGACAACTTTTCATAACAAAGCACTCCGAAATTAAAAAAAAAAAAATTTCCAACCCACTATAATAGACACCCATGCTCAAAAATTTTTTCAATTCAATTAAAACAATACATATCCCAAATCAAACTTCATTAGCTATCTAAAAGCTTAAAATATAATAAAAGGTTGACAAAAAATTTTATTAATGTTAAAAAATCAAGAATAAAATTTTCACAAACTATTAAAAATAATTATAAAACATAAGTAATACACCAAAAACACCTACACAAAAAATAACACATACCTTCCACATGCTCAAAGAATACATTAGAATATGGCTTCCTATCATTTCTCCAAGGAAATTTTGAAGTGTTTGAAAAAATTTCCTTTGAATTTAAAATATATAAACATTCTTTTAGGTCATTCTTAGTAGTGTGGTCACCAAGACGACAATTAGTCGCAACTACACGAGATGCTTGTAGTTGTAGTGTACGAGGCCTATCTGGTTGAGTTGGTGAATGAGCATCAGATGGAATGACAACCTAAATATCAAAGTTTTAGTTAGAAAATTAAAAAAAAATGCTCATTATGTTGTTTAAGAAATAAATAGATATACTTTTAATAATAAAAGTTAAAAACAACAAATTCGAAAACATACAATAAGAACAAAGTGGTTGTAAAAATCAAAATTAAATAATATTCCCTTTCGAAAATACAACATAGTTTAAATAAATTAAATAAATAAAAAAAGGGTACATAAGTTTTATTGAATTAAAAAAAAACATATCATATTTTAACATATAAGTTAAAAGACACAAAAAAGTGATACACTAGTCCTCGTTAAAGTTATCATCAATGAAATAAAAAGTGAAAAAATCAAAGTACAATTTCAGTTGAAAGCAGCTACTCACAATTTTATATTTGTACAAGCTTTCTTAATTTGGTTAGCAAAAAATATAAGCACAATATATTACCTGTGGCAAAAGTGCTTCTACTCTAATATTAACATATGATGGCGTCTCTGTTGTTCCCATTTTTAAAGACATCTGAAATGAATTTATACCAATTACACAAAACAAATCTAAAAAGCTTGTAATAATTATAACTGCGAAGAGTAGGCATAATTTTTTGAACTATATGTATTAAAAGCAAAGTGTGCAAAAGAATTTAAATTTATAATTAAAAAGTTGTAATGATGATTCTGGAAAAAGCAAATAAAATGAATTTCTAGAAAAGCATTAACTATTATTATTCTTATAAAATTAAAAGTACTTCTTTGTGATTAATTAAATTTTATTAAAAAAAAGCAATTAAAACAGAAAAAAAGTAAAATTTCATGAAAATTCTACAGACTTTTTGGTGTCACAATGGTATACTTTCAATTCCTTTCACCATAATTTAAAAATACAATAATACAAATACAATAATTTGATTGTTAGTCTTCTTGCAAGCTCTAACTTATTCTATCCACCGCCTGATACCTTTCTATTAAAACTTACTAAAATATAATGTTTCACAAACAATCCTGTACCTCAATGCATATATAACCCCCTTAACCCCAATTTAAATTATATGATTTCCTGAGAACTATTATTTCAATTACATTAATAAGGCTTCATGTAAAATATTTTTCTATAAGCAGGGATGAGAGTAGTTGGAAAGTAAAAAAGAGGAAATTCAAGAATGAATGAATANAAAACTCTGAGGTGGTCATAATAATTTGGCCACTCAGTGTATACACAAAAATTTGACAAAAAAGTGCAATTTTTAAACTTGTAAACCATGTGATTATAAATCCCGATGATTAATTTCAAAATTGCATTAACATATAAATATGAATCACATGCATGATTTTAAATTAAGATAATATGAATCCCGAAATGAGGCTCTTAAATCACGTGAATATAAAACTCTATATCGAATTTAAAAAATGCGAAAATACAAATCATGATGCGCAATTTTTTTAATCACGTAAATACGAACCACGATGCGTAATTTTTAAATAGCGCGAATACGAATCCCACTGTCTAATTTTTAAATTAAAGCACGCATAAATAGGAAAATCGATGTTTGATATTACAACTGCAAAAACGAACCACGACATTGGAATTTAAGCTCGCGTGAATATGAATCGCTACATAGGATTTTAAAAGCCCGTAATTACAAATTGCGATATTGGATTTTTAAATCTCGTAAATAAGAATCGCAATGTACGACATTTAAATCGCCTGATTAAGAATCGCAACATTCAACTTTTAAATCAGGTAAATACGAAAATCAATGTTTGAGGGAGGAATGAGGACTTCAATACTTTCGTTTCGCGGAAAATTTAATTCCTCATAAAATATTTTAACTTGTTCAAAAAAAATTTTCAGCAGAAATTAGCAGAAAAAAATGGAAAAATCTGAAAAAAAAAGCGGAAATTCGCGAAAGAATCATATCCCTGTATAAGGAAGGATTCAACTACTTATCTAAGATTTCAAGTAATAGTTTTTTTTATAAGATACATCTAAGATCTAGTAAGGGTTAGAACTAATGGTTGGATGTCTTGTGAAAGGGGAGTGGGAGAAATTGTTTGTAACTTGTTTGACCATATTCGGGATATCTGACTAACAAAAATCTCTATTTTTGTAAAATTTTTTGAAGAATAAATAAGTTTGAATGACACTCTAAAAACAGGAAAGTTAAATTAAGTAAAAGAGGAGGTGTCTCCCCTGATTTTATTTCAGGTTATTTACAATGATTTTAAATACCATGAATCTTAAATTGTTTATCTCAACTGTAGAATTTAACAGTGTTCAATGTCGTTCTTCAAAGTTAAACAAGTGCTTAATTAAGGTAGTTATAATTTAGAAAAGTAATTTATTTGAAGGCAAAAAAACATTGTCTGAATTCAAATACCTACCAAACATTTTTCTAAATTCAGATAAAAAGCATTTATCCACAGCATTGTAGGAGTATCCAAATATAACTTTAAGGGACCAATGTGTAAAAATAGGTTAGGAGAAGGCACTGAAACATAAAAAATTAATTTTCATTAACTAACTAAAACAAGAAGAGTAACAACAAATAAGTCAAAGGGTGTGGAATGATTCAAGCGTTACAGTTAAATAAATGAGTTTGGAGCAACTCAAAACTTTACTCCATGAGAAAATATGTTTAGTGTGTAATGGCAAGATATGTTTACCGTGTAATCATGAAAGTAGAATGTGGAATAATTATCAAATAACAGAATTTAATAAATAATAGAATTTAATAGCATTAAAAATTGTACTCAATTTAGTTATATAGTAATTGCGTAAAGCTTTTAAAACAAAGTCTTTAAGCAATACTTTTGTCAAACATTGAAAAATATTAATTGCTTTCATGGGAGACAGACGATTTTACGATTGTCTTAAGACATTAACAATGCAAAAATATCACAATTCATGTTGCGAATTAACATGAATATAGTTGCGGAAATCTATTATAACTGGTCATCGTAAATTTGTTTGGTAGATTAAGGGGGGGGCCCACCCTGAATACACTATCTAGCCACACCCTGAATACACTATCTAGCCATTAATGACCGGACACCCCTTGAACGGCAGGTGGACTCGTCCTGGCGGAATAAATACGGAACCTGTGGTGGGGGAAGGACCATTCGCAAGCAGGCAACGGCCATACGAGCCTTAACAGTGAAAATGAGTGGACATCGAGAGCTGAATGAGACGGAAAGGGGCATGATCATAGGCGCCCACCGATTTGGTCATTCCATACATGCCATCTCCGATAAGTTTCAGATACCACGGTCAACAGTTGGTGACGTCGTGTTGAAATGGGAATGAGAGGGAGTGATAAAACCGCAGACCCGATCCGGCAAGCCCAAAATAATGTCAGACAGGGATCGACGATCTCTTCGACGTGTAGTGAAGGCAAACCGACAAATGTCGTTGGACACTGTCGTTACCAACTTACGGGCTGCATCTGGCAGAGTTGCCAGTACACGTACCATTCGTCGGGAGCTGATAGCACAAGGATTCCATGGACGAGCAGCAGCACACAAGCCAAAAATCTCTACATCAAACGCCCGCCATCGATTTCAGTGGTGCAGAGCATGTCGCCAGTGGACAGTAGAGCAATGGAAAAGCGCTATGTGGAGTGATGAGTAACGCTACATGTGTGGAACTCTGATGGACGAGTGTAGACCTGGCGAATGCCCGGATAACGGCACCTACGGGAGTGCATTGTCCCCACTGTGAAGTTCGGTGGTGGAGGAATTATGGTGTGGTCCTGTTTCTCATGGTTTGGCCTTGGACCCTTGGTGTTAGCGCGTGGAACCCTGAACACAGAAGGGTATAGAGACATCCTGGACACGCTTCCCACCCTGTGGCAACAGTTCGGTAATGGTCCGCTTGTGTTTCAACACGATAACGCTGCCATTCATAAAGCACATGCCATCACGGACTGGTTTGATGAAATGGGGGTGCAAGAGTTTGACTGGCCATCCCAAAGTCCCGACATCAATCCAATTGAGCATCTCTTGGATGAGTTGGAGCGCCGGTTGAGGGCCAGACCACAACGCCCCAAAACCACCACTCAACTCTTTGCCATGTTACAGGAGGAATGGCGGGCAATACCTACTGCCGTGTGCCAACACCTAGTGGATAGCCTTCCTAGAACGGTTAAAGCTGTGATTCGGGCGGGTGGCGGCCCTACGCCCTACTGACTTGATACTAGCACCTCATGTATCCGAAATGAGGGGTGTCCGGTCATTAATGGCCAGATAGTGTATTTCAATAATTTGAAAAAAAAATTTATTGCACTTTTCTAATCTTTGTACCCTTCCTAATGTCTGTCTAAAATGATTTCTCGGTACCTAACTTCGTTTGGAAGTTATACCGGAAAATAGAGAGCCGCCGCTAAGCAGGTAGAAAGGCTCGTTTGGCCAGATTAGGAGGGGCGACATTCTTTATGTGTCTAATCCATTCTGTTGACTGTGTAAAGAAACTTATTGTAGGCATTTCATTTATTGACCATTATATATATATATATATGAAATTAAACGTTTTCCCTACCATAAGTCAAAACTTTAAACGCGTTTTTTGACCTGGCATAAAATTTTTCTCATGATCTATACAACGAAATAAGCTGTTCTTAATTTTAAATTAAGTAAAAGTTTATTCTTTAGAAAGTAGCATAGAATTTTTTTGATATTTTAATATATTTCGATTTTAAAGTAGTATTTTAATAAATATTTCTTTAATGAAAAACTTAACTTTTTTTTAAAGTTGCTGCCATTTTGGTAATTTCGCGAATATCAAAAAACCGCTATGCTACTTTTTAGATAATGTCTTTATGTTTCAGAGAATCTAAACAAAATCGTTTTCCTATGTTTCAGGACTTCTAAATCCACAAGGCCAGTGAGGTGCTACTTTTTGATGACCAGCCACACACAAAGCTGCCACCAACTTATTTTTTATTATTTTGTAAAAGAAAAAATTTTAAAATAGACTTAAATTGTAGCTAAATAACATAAAAAAACAGGGAGTCTCTGCATTGTCTCTATTACTTAAAAAAATTCAAGAAAAACGTTAATATTTTACCATCTCAGGGTGGGGTCCCCCCTTAAACCAAAAAGTATGCTTAATCACATTTATCTGATATGTAACAACAAAGATTATCCAAATAATTTTTGTGATATTGTGTTGAAGAGATTAACCTTGCTTTAATATAACTTAACCCAATTACATTCAATCTAAAATTCCAAAAAATCAAATAAATATAAGTCTTTTTAAAAGCTTATGACAAAAATTAAAATTCTGTAAAGACCCTTTAAAAGGGAAAATAAAAATAATGTAGCTTTTAAAAACAGAAGAAATCATTAACTCGTACTAAATTAATTTCAATAAATTAATAAAAGCAAAAATTTCACAAATTACTATGAGTCTGCAATAAATAATAACTGTGGTTTACCAAAAAAATCAAAATCTCCAGGTAGGTAATAAGAAGTTTGTTCCAAATGGATTGTTTTAATGTCAGATGGCATGTGAGCACTCTTGTTATAAATTAAAAACTTTTCAATGGCATGCTTTCTAGAAGAAGTAGATGTGGAAACTTTATATGCAACTATGTCTTCAAGTCTAAGTATAAAACAACTGGACATAAGATAACGATAGTTCCATTGTAAAGAAGATTTACGACTCAGTCCTCCAATACTGCGGCGAGATGTATCAGGAGTGAGTGTTCCTGAAGAATTACTTATTGTGCTTGCTTTACGAGTTAGCAATGGTCTGTCATCAGGAGTAGTAGGAGAATCAGTCACAATCTGCGAAAAATTAACAAAACAAAAAATAATATATAAAAGTTGAATACATAAACTACTGACATTTCCAAATTCACTATAATTTAATTAAAAACCAAAATATGTACAGCACCTTTAGAAAATTACGTTAAATATTTGTAAAAATTATTAATTCTATAAAGAGTTTAATATTTTTTGTTTATTATCTTAGAAATTCTTTAAAATGCAGTTTTCTTATGCCAAGAAAACATAAAACACAATGTAAAAAAAATTAAAAAAGTGTAAATTTACAAATAAAAACAAGTGCTTTATTTTCAATTAACATTTTTCTTTGTTCACACATCTCATATAATTTTATAATATTATATAGTTTCAAAAATTAAAAAAAAATATTTTAAAACATGTTTGGGATATACTATTTTTGACTAGTTCTTGTATGAATATAAAGAGGTTTGCACATGAAAACAATTATTTTTTCTTTAAAAAAGTTAGATTGCTTCACTTTTATTATGGTCCCTAATTTTTTTTTTAAATTAAAATTTCAATAAGGTATAAAACATGTTCCTATCACAATATGTAAAATACTAAGATGTAATAAAAGTTTTCCTAAAATGTAAACAGAATAACTTACATCACTGGCACTTTTATAGTTTCCTTGCTTATCATGTCGAAACCAGAGTAGATTAGAAAAATATTTTGGTTAAAAAAATTTTTGAATTTATATAATTTTTCATTAATTTTTTTGCAAAAGAGGACAACTAGCATAAAAGAAATTTCAATATAAAAAATTTTATGTTTTATGAACAACAAGCAGAATCACATTAAAACTTACTTTTAATGAAGTATTCAAATATTTGAAAATTCTCAACAAATTTTAAATTGTAAGTAATATAATTAGCTTTAATTGTAAGTAATATAAGTAACTATAGCTGATTATTAAAAGTGAAGAATTACATTATACACTGTAGAGCCATAAAAACTATTATAGGCTATTAACAGAGGCATCACCAATTACAATAGCGTGATGCAGTCAGCATCTCCTATATCGGACAACAAGTACTAAGCAGAATTATAAGGTAGGTTCCTGTTGCAACAATGGCATGTTATTAAAATTTAAGTAAGTTTTAACATTGTGTTCAAGTTGGCGTAGAAAAGCTGATTCGTAGTATCTCTGCGGTAGCAATGATATGTGAACTTTTGTTTACAACCATTTCAAGAGTGAACCATGATTTTGGAACTATCAAATCTCCAACATAGCTATAACTGGAGAAAAAAAATTAGGGAACAGAACAAACTAGGACTAACAAGAATCTTTAAATGTAATTTCCTGAAATCGCTAAAAATGAGACATCAACAAAGATTGCCTGATCAGATGAAAAGTGGGGTAGCTGTTTGGGAAAATAAACTACCTATAAAAATCAATTTAAATATACGTATTCTAACAAATATTGTAAGACTTTTTAAACCTACAACTTTTAATTTTTCTTTATTTCTTGATTTGCATTTTAAGGAGTTTAATTTTGTTTAATTTAGTGTGTTCACTAAAGATAGAGACCTTCTCATGCTTTCAATCAAATGCTTGACTTAATCCTCTGCCTTAAGAAGCTATTCAAGTAGAAAAGAAGTAATCGATAAATTGGCAGAAGTAAGAAAAATTGCTCTTTAAAATAAATATTAAATCAGACTCAACTAGATTCACATTCATTCGAAATATGTAGTATTTCTTTAATATTAAATAATTTTTTTTAATTTGATGAAGGCTTGAAAATTACCTTTTTACCCAAGTACTGAAAATCCTAACTAGACTCCTGAGTATCATGCCCAATTATTTCTGGAAGGCAAATGTGTAGGAGTTTATAGAAAACCTGTCGAATCCATGGACTTCACATGTGCAGAAAAGACTTCTAACTGGAGGAGAACCTTTATGGTACGTTGCATGAGTAACTGTTCTGAAATGGGCCCCCTGATTTGTCCACAACTCTGACAGTTAACAATATGTAAGTATACTACCAAATCACCTGCACCCATGTATGCCCATTGTGCACTTTTTCATACTTGAAAAATGACAGCACAGAAATGAGACACTTCACTCATTGAGAGTAGTTACCTGATGGTTCCAGGGATAATCTACTGATTTAAATCACTTCCATTGACCTCTTAACTCCTCAGACATTATTAAGAATATCAAAGAATATCTTGCAAGATATTCTTAATATCAATATTAAGAATATCTTGCAAAGTGCCGTTAAAAAAAGGTCTCAACCATTTTGCATACCTATGGATAAGTGGGCTCCCCTGTGGTATTCATGGGACAAATATGTTCTATTGTGGCACTTTTACAGGGTGCATAGCCAAATCTTTCAACAAAAAATAAACATCTTTTAAGTACTTTTCAAGCACTCAAAAAATATTTTTAAGTGCTATGTACACAAAAAAAATTTGAAATAATTTTCATGATCATGATAAAATAACTAGTTTCTGACAAAGAACTTTTTTCTTCATTATAAAATGATCAAGATATTTTTCGGATCGATTTCAGAGGTTGGAAAATGAAGTCTGAAATTGAGAATATCTTGCAAAATGCAGCAGAGTTGTACATGAGAGTGCTTGAATCTTACTGAACCCAGCTCAGTAGACGTACATGCGGACTGGCAAGTATTTCATCCACATGTAAAATGATTGGCGCTTTCATGAGCTATGGACCGACGGTACACCGAAATAGATTGTTGAATGAATTGTGAAAACGTTGATAGAACAATGTGAAAAGCACGCTTTTGTATAATACGTGGCGAAAATCGATATGGCAAAGAAAAAAATCTCATTTTTGAAAAGGGAAAATTAAGCACTTTTTAAAAACATCCAATGAAAGAAGCAACTTCAAGGGCTTTTAAAAAATGATTATCAAAAATAAGCACCTTTAAGCATTTTTTAAAAATGCTACGCACCATGTTTTAAGTGCCTGTGGAAGTCCAAAACAATATTATGAAGGTATACCAGTTTTTTTGCTCTTCAGTGTATTTTATTAGATGAATCATTATCAGAGCTATTTTTAAACAAAGATTAGTAACTTACATTTTCAGCTGAAGGAGAAGATTTTTGAGGGCAGTGTTTGGGACTTTCTTTAGTATTATCATAAGACACATTCAATTCTACTTTCGACTGCAATTTATCATGAAACAATGTCAAAAGCTGCTGCACCCACGAACTACGACTAGAAGATGGTTCAGAATAGTACAACCAATGCTCTCGACTGGAAACTAAAATTAATATAAATTGAGCTTAATAAAAATGCTTAAAAAGTAAATTATAGTAGATGTAGTAGTAATAAACTAGTAGAAAGTAATAAATTGTACAAAGATTATGTACTCACAAGCTCGGTGGTAAGGATAGTAATCTATTATTAATTTGTCTAAGGATACTTGCAATGCTCCTCCCCCTTTCAAATAAGGATGTTGAGAACGTCCATCTAAATTTAATGAATACATTAGAAGAGCAAATAAAAAATTCATTCAACAAGAAAAATAAAATAAAAATATTTTAAAACAAATAATATCCAATGACAGTAGAAAAAAAGCAAAAAATAATTTTGTTTTGTTACTCTTCTCTCTTAGGTCATAAGAAAAGAGGCTTCTCATTTATGTAACAATTTGAGCATATCACTGTTACTATGATAAAACACAAATGCACAACTTTGGATATCAACAGAACTGTGTTTTTAGCCTGGTTCCAACAATATGTCATTGTTTGGTTGTTGCTGAAAAAACATATTGAACAAAACAAAAACTTAACAAAAGCTTAATTAATTACTGTATTTCTGAAGGAAAAAGAAAGGAAAGAAAACTCAAAGAGAATAAAATAAAACATAAAAGAGCTAGAGTTAAATGAAACAAAATGCATACATGAAACAAAATGCATACATGAAACAAAATGCATACATGAAACAAAATGCATACAAACCTTTGGGATCCATATCATCACATAAATGTAAATCAATTCTGCTACATAAAACATGATAGGATGTTTCAATTACATCATGACGATAAAATGCTGGAGATATAGGGATACTTGATTTAGAATGACTACCATATGTATGTTTGTCAGGTTGTTGCTAATAAATAAAACAGTGTAAAATTTGATTAAGTAAAAAAATATTAATGAAAAAGTTGAAACATGAAATTTAAAATTCAAAATATCATTGTTTTTTTAATCATAAAATGATATCTACCTCCAATTTTTGTTTAGCTTTTGCCTTTTGGGCCAATTCAGTAGCCCTTTGAACCAATCCACTTAAAGACTGGACAAAATGAAGAGCTGCAACTAGTTGAGCATCAGTTAACACCCATAGTAAATCGTCTAATACAAAGATAAGGCGTGATCCAATGACACTGCAGTCTAAAAAAATATATTTTATTAAAGACTTATATGTAGATAATAAAAATAAAACTGAAAATAAAATAACATTTATTCAAATTCGCAACACATTTTCCTCAAAATAATTATCACTTTTTGGTAAACTGATATTAATTTTGTCAAATATCACATTTAACCAAAATAGAGCTAGCAAACGAGAATTATTAGTCATTTTCATAAATATTTTTGTTTATATAGAGCAGAAGCTTTTTCCCAGAAATTAAAAATATAGAAAAACAAGAAAACCAGAATAATATTCAGACTAATTTTGGAAAGAAAGAAGAGGAAATCCAAATTCTCATTATCCAATGTTTTATTGTATATGTTGTTATTTTTGTAAATGTAATACAGCTCTAAATTTGTTTTCCTCTATTTTCTTTATTTACTTATAGTTAGACAATATAGCAGTATCTAAAAATGCAACAATGGCATACTTTATCCGATGTTACTATTTTTTTCTTCTTTTTTTGCTTTTTGCTATTTTTAAAAGTATTATTATTTAGTAAAAAAATAGACTTTTAAAAGATCAAAAATCACTGCCATGACATGATATAAACTAGAAAATTCAGATATGTAGAATAATGTTTGTCTGGGGTGCTGTTTTTACTATGTTCTATATTGTACAAAGTATATGCTAAATAAAATAATTATACCATAACTGCAATTTTAAACATTAAAAAAAATGCAGTTATATTGACTATGAAATAAAAATTTAAAAAGATATGGAACACCAAAAAATCAATTTTGAAATCTGCAATTTGCAACATTACTTTTACCAACTGTTAGAATTTATAGGTAGATTTCTCATTATACAAGTGCCGTTATGCATCCTTAAATCCTGTGGAGCTTACAGCAGACCAAAAACAGAATAATTAAAAAATATTAAAATTTTTCAAATAAATATATTAATATATTGATTATTTTAAAAATATTGGGATATTATTAAAATTTTCTCAAATGTTAATGACAAAGTTGAAACTTTTACTTGATTTCATATAAAAAGTTTAATGAATGAATTGCAAATGATAATGAATTGCAAAAGAGTTGAAAGAAAACCATACCGCATTGTTTAAATTAAAAACTCACACACGTAACTAATATATGATTTTATATTAAATTGTTTTAAATTTTATAGCTTCCTAATTTATCATAATAATGAAATTATTTCTATATGTGATTACATGGTTGATAAAATATTTTTATGCAAATTTTTTTACAAAATTAACTGAACTCATTTTGTGATAAATGTATATAGTTATTTTAAAAAACACATACAAATTTGACAGAACAGAAAAATGAACCTAAAATAAAATAACATCACGTGCATAAAAATAGATTAAAAACAAATTAAAATTTCAGAAAGACAAATACAACACAGTGCGCCCCTCATTATATTGTGCACATTAGGGTGCAGCAAGAAAAAGAATAATATATTTGTAGGTATAATACAGTAAATTTGACATTACTTTTTTAAGGTTAGTAATATCAAATGATAGTTTTAGCTAACATGTTTTTATGCATAGTATAAATTAAGATAAAAAAATTCGTCTTTTTTAGATGAAAAATGCATTAAATATCATTTGCTAACTTTTTTCATTTAAAACATCACTCTGAGTTTATAGAAAATGATATGCATAACTTTAAGAAATTTTTATGTTTTTCTGAAATTTTGCGAAATATAAAATTTTCAAAACATTGCTTTATTTTATGAGACAAGTAAAAGAGAAATAAATCTGAATGTGAGTAGCAATGTAGAGAAGTATAATGTAATCAGGGGCTACCGTGTAAAGAAATTGAAAATTTGATGAAATGTTATTATTTAAACAGATGTCAAAAAAGTCGTTCACGAAAATAAGTAGAATTTTTTTCAGTTTTAAATCCCATTTTAATTTATACCAGCATTCAAAAGTGTAATTTAATAAGATTAATGAAAAATATTTAAAATGCAGAGCAAAATTACTTTAAAGATGTGCAGACAAAAAATATTTATTTTTTAATTATAATATTTAAAAAAAACATACCACTAAGTTTCTTTTTTATTGTCATTTTGCAACACCCTTGATTGGTAATCAAACGCAAGGGTGTTAATGGTATATCTCCTCGAAGACCATTGGCTTCATTGTCTCGGGATTTAGCTTCAATTCGCAGGACTTGCCATTCAAGTCTTTTAAAAAGTAATACTTCACCTCTGTCTGGTTCTTTTATGCGTGATAATCGAAGATCCTTCTTCTTAAAAAAGGGACAATAGCTTTCAAGCACAACTCGTGAGAGCTAAAAATGTTAATTTGTTAATTTAAAAGCAGTAAGCAAAAATACAAATAATCTATTTTTATCATATAAACTAATGTAACACTAAGCAAGCACATGCAACACTAAATACACAGGTAGGGGAAAGTGAAACACAATATACGGTATAATGTAAACTCCAAAATAATTTAAAGTTTTTCACAAGAGAAATTGGGCATTTTGTTGAATTGATATGTATTTAGCAGCAAATATTGAAATACTAATTTGGTAATTTTAAAACTTTTCATTTTGTATAAATAAAAAAACATCAACAAAAAAATTCTTGCAATCAAAAGGTGTGATACCTATTTTTTGTAAAATATATGTAACAATTAAATATAAGCCAATAAAACATTCTAGAAATTTTTTTTTACAACATATAGTTTTAAAGAGGTCGTACCGTGGACCAAGATAAGAAGATAGAAAAATTACTCACATTTTTTCTCTACCCATTGTAAGTCAAAATATTCAGTTAATTAAATTAAATTTTAAAAAATCTTTACTTCAAAATAAATTTCTAAATAAAAAAAAACTTTTTTTGAAAGAACTGTATTTAGTTATTTATCAATGCATAAATATTTAACCAGAATCTGAAAATAATTCTAAAATCTAAAAAATATGTAAATGACAAGAAAACACTACACTGATGTTTTTTTAAAGTAAAGAAGCCATTGCCCTGTATACTTTCGCCTGCTTTTTGAAGGTTAAGTGACACTGCCCAGCATACATTTGTCCAATATGCATTTGCCATTTTCCGGTTACAATCTTCTATGCTTTTGACGACCCAAATTTTTGGCGATAAGCCTCAACGCGTCATTTATGAATTGACAACATTTTTAAAAATCGTGTTAAAGCATGTAACGTATTTTAGTAGGAGTTTACCAATATTTTAATTAGTAAAAAATTTATACAATTATATGGAACTATTAAAAGTTATGTTTTGAGTTTGAGAAATAAAAAACTATTTGTTCAAAATAAAATAGAACATAAATTCAAGACATGACAATTGTAACAAATAAAATATATTCTAAAATAAAACAAAAGCTAATAGATTACTGTACAATTATAAATTGAAAAAATTTCAATAATCTTTTAAAAGTAAATGTTAAACAGGTGTAAGATTAATTATTTTTTTAAAAACTAAATGCAAATAAGCATGAATAAAGCTAAGTATTTTACTTGAAAAGAAGCTTGAAATGCAGGAGAATTAAACTTTATGACAACAGAGTTTACTACAACAGTCATGCCATCTATAACTCGATCTGAAAATCCATATTTTCCTCCAGACCTAATATATAAAAGCAATCAATTACAAATTGAACAACTGGCAATAATTTTTAGTTTAAGAGATTAATGCCTAACATAAAAAATACATACAAAATATAGACAAACTTAAAATGTATAAAAATACCTGAACAGAAATGAATACTGACAATGTCATTTGTTTCAAAAAGTAAATATCTCTTACATTTCTAGTCATGAATATATGCATTTCAACAGGTGCAGTTGACATGAGATTAATCACAAAGAGATTGATGTAAAAGATAAGTCTCTAAAAAAATGTACCTGGCTATATTTTATTTCATTTTATAACAATCGTTGAACAGCCGACCCAAATTGGGTTTATGGCTACTAATGATCAACTCCGTAGCCTTGTAATTTTGAACCCAATCTAGAAGACAAGGGAACTCCTGGATCAAATATTGGAAGAAATTTGCCTTTGTGGAGGACTTTTTGATGGAACTAACCCGCATTTGTATTACATGGAGAGGAAGACCATGAGAACCTCCCACGGTTAGCCTGACGGCAAGGGGACTCTAACCCCTGATCCGTCTACCACTGAAGATATTTTAAGTCAGCACTGTGGTCGGTGCGAGACGGGTGCGAAATTTGTATCGACCAGCTATCACTGGGATCAAACACGGATCACCTCATTGGGAGGCGAGCTCTCTATTGGCTGAGACGCCAAGGCTTTAAAACATCTGTTATAAAAAAAACTTAGGCAATAACTTAATCTATATTATGGTTAAAACTTAGGCTATATTATGAGCAATCCCAAGACAAAAACTTTACAATATCTGCTTTGAGTTAGAAAATTCAAATAGTGTTGAAAACTAATCTATGTATCATGTGGAAACGGAAGAGATAAGAATAGGGGGGGAGATGAAGAAGAGAGGTTACAAATACATATCAGGGTCTTCAAACCAATATTTAATAAAAAAGAAAGAGAACTTCCCTTCTTTTGAGAAGGCTTTGCTTTTATATTTTATGTATTTGAAATCCATGTTTTTCAATGAATTCCTTGCTTTTAAAACAAAATATGTATGAATATTGGATAAGGTTCATTCTTATAAGGTCAGTTTCAATGGAAAATAAAAGGCCTTTGGACATTGACCTCCACCAGCATTTGAAATTTATCAGCCTATTTGTTTTTAATCATAGCAATACTCTAAGATGTCTTAAGTACAAAATAGTCAGAAACTGAGGAAGAGGTACACAGATGAATTAAATATGGAGTTCAATGTTACAAAAGCCAGAACTGACTACGAGGGTTGCTATTTATATTTCTGGCCTTGGCAACAGTAAGTGTTGCTAGGCGACCGCAGACGATTTTAATAGAAAGTTTGATATTTTTAAACATAAATTCAGCAGACGATTTACCATTATAGCTTCATTTGTGTTGTTGACAGTAAATTGAAAAGTTCTTCTCTTTCAAAAAATGGAATTGAATCGTGAACATTTTCGTGCCATTATTTTTCATAACTTTCGACGTGGATTGTCAAGACAAGAGTGCTTCGATGAACTTAATTCTTTATTCAGCGATAAAGCGCCATCCTACAGCACTGTAAAAAATTGGTATAACGAATTTAATCGTGGTCGATGTTCGATCCAGGACGAATCCCGTGCAGGTCGTCCAAAATCCGTTGTTGTGCCAGAAAAGATCGATGCTGTGCGTGAACTGATAAAGCAAGATCGTCATGTGACATACCGTGAGATAGAGGCGTCTTTGGACATTAGTATGACTAGCATCAATAAAATATTGCATGAACATTTGAGCGTAAAAAAAATTTGTTCGCGTTGGATCCCGCATAATCTGACAAACGCTCAAAAAAAGGCTCGTGTCGATTGGTGCAAGGAAATGTTGGAAAAATACGTTCAAGGTACATCAAAGGCTGTGTATAACATCTACACAGGTGACGAATCATGGATCTATGCATATGAGCCGGAAACAAAACAGCAATCAACTGTATGGGTCTTCCAAGACGAGGCAAAACCAACAAAAGTTGTTCGAGGAAGAAGCACATCGAAACAAATGATTGCCTGTTTCTTCGGCATTAACGGTCATGTGGCAACAGTGGCGTTAGAGCAACGCAGGACGGTCAATTCTGAATGGTACACGACCATTTGTTTGCCAGAAGTCATCGGAGAAATTCGAAAAAAGCAGAAGAACAGGCGAATCATTCTTCATCATGACAATGCGAGCTCTCACACATCGACTCAAACAAAGGCATTTCTGACGGAGCGAAAGATCGAACTGATGGGTCATCCGCCGTACAGCCCTGATTTGGCACCCAATGACTTCTTCTTATTCCCACACATCAAAAATAAATTACGTGGACAACGATTTTCGACCCCCGAAGAAGCGGTTGATGCATTCAAAACGCATGTTTTGGAGTTACCTCAATCGGACTGGAAAAAGTGCTTTGAAAATTGGTTCAAACGCATGCAAAAATCCGAAATTAGTCATGGAGAATATTTTGAAAAACAATAAAACCAATTTCGATCCTACATATTTGTTTTTTCATTATTAGGCCAGAAATATGAATAGCAACCCTCGTATAATGTACAAAACAGAAACATAACCGAGATAGCACAATAAAACATTGCTACAAATTGAGTCTAAGACATCAAAGGAAAGAACAAACAAAATAATATAACAAAAAAATCTCTTGAGTGTCTTTGGTTATAGAACAAGACATTATAAAAAAAAGGGCAAATCTCATAAGAAAGGAGAATTGTAAAACATTGATGAGATGTAATTCTCAAACTAAATTGTTAAGAATTAACTAACAAGACCAGAACTAATATTGATCAAAAATTTAAACATACCTAGGAATCTGAATATAAATAAAAATTTATATGAAAATGAATTTGATATAATGAGATTTCTAAATACCAAGATTGAACAGTAATTTATTTTCATCCGCAGTTCCTTTTTTTATTTTATTTTTTTAATTAGCTTGAAATTTTTTTTATTTTTAAAGAAAATTATAAATTTAAATCAAATGATTTTTTTAATGTAATCACAGATACAAAAATTCACAAAAAGATTTTAATATAAGATTGTTTAAATAATTTCTTATTGATTCTTACAGTTTTAAAATTTTTTGTAAATACATTGCTGTATTATTAAGTTCCATTTATCCAAATTTTAGCAAAATTGCGTAGTTATTACAACACTTTTAAATTAACATTTTAAAAATCTTACAATTCTTTAAGTTTACAGAATGCAAACTAGGAACAACGCAAAATTTTATTGCAGTTATTGAATATAGATGGTTTAAGTTCAACAAAATTTTTAAATTTTTTCCTTGTTTTGTTGCTTTTTCTTTTTTTTTTCATGATTTTTTTTCTTTTCTGATCTCTATTCCAGCAGATAATTATGAACATTTTTACTTCATTTTTAATGAATTTAAATCATACATTTGCATGCATGAAATTTTTTTTTATTACTTAATACAGTTTTAGATGAACAATTATGATTTACTTTTAATAATTTTTCAAGTTGCAAAATATAACTGATTACAAACTAAAACTGTTTGAGTATAGTAATTTTTTAAAAAAAATACAATTCTTTAGATAATTTAGTATAATAAATTTTTAAAAAATCACAAATTTGCTCATATTGCCCTTCAATTGAATAAAACAACGTAAGAGCTTCACGACTGATTCCAAGAAAAGTGGCTGAAAAACTATTTTCCCTCTATTGCTAATGCTAAGAACATTTAACTTAAAACAAAGTTTCAAAAAATTGATAAAACAGAATTTATATTTGAAAAAAATGTTTTTGTAATATATAGCTTACTCTACAAAATCGCCAAAGATATAAAAATCCTAATTTTGAATTTTTTGTTTCGTACATTGATTTTTCTATTGCATGGCAGTATAGTGCTTAAATAAAATTGGAGGAAAATTTAAAAATGACAGAAGTTTAATATCTTACAGTTAAATATCAAAAAACAATTCTAATCAATGTAGTGTAACTGAAGGAGTTAGAATACACTGAAGAGGTTTTATGTGAGGAAATATGCAGAATAAAAAATCATTAACATTATAAACCTCTCATAAATAAAATTAATTAGTAATAAAATAAAAAATAGCTGGTGCATTTAAACAAAAATAAAATTGTAGCACAGTGAAGTATAGTGAATTTTAAATAATAATTTCTGAATAACAGAATAAAATTAAAATATTAAGGCAGTTGAATTTTTAATTATAATTTATTACATTAATAATGTAAATATTTATATAAATTTTTTCATATTATCAATTCTTTTATATTTGAAAAAATGCTTATAAAAATTGCTTCAATTCAATTTAAAGTAGTTTTATTTACCTAATTTATTCTACTTAAATTTCTTTACATAAATAAACTATCCAAAATTATTAAGATGTTTAAGATATATGTTTCTCTCATATATAAACAATTTAAGATTTTTGTTTTGTAATTTGATAATTAACTTCTCATTATATTTCTTACAAATATTTATTTTTTAAAGAAGTTAAGAAAATGTCAATGATTTCAAAACAAAATCACAAATTATTATTGAAGTTAATTTCAAACAACACTTCAGTTAAAATACATAGAGAACAAACATTAAAAATTCTTCAATTTCCTAAAGAATATTAATTAGATAAAGGCTCATTAATATGTCAAATTTAACTTTGACAAAAAAAACCTTCTCAGATCCTTAGATAAATCAAAGCATTTTTTTTTTTTTTGTATTACAAAATTATCATTGTTTAAGAAATAAAATAATCTTACTTATAACTTGGTTCATTTGCCACTGGAGTAAGAGGTCTCAAATCTTCACATGTTTCCACTTCAACAACTACTTCATCTAAAGACTATAATATAAAATGAGATCCAGTGTAACTAATTTTTCAAATGAATGTACCTAATATATACATTCTTATATTTGATAGAAATAGAAATTTGCATGTGTCTATATCTCCATCTATGGGCAAGGGGGGCACCTATGAATATGAATTTTTGGCGTGCATATAGGAACCTATAGTTTTACACCTCAAAATGCGAATTTTGATTTTTTGTTCCGGACTGTACACACATGGGTATGGTAGTCTAGATATAGCTCAAACAGGATATCAATTGGTACAAAATATGGCAGTTAGGATAAAAATAATTACTAAAAAGATGTGGTTCTTTATAAGATTAATTCATTCTAGGCACTGAAGCATTTCAAGTCATTTTAATTATTTGTTAATTTCGGAATAATGGCACCAATTCAGCATAAAGCCAATATATTTCATTAAATCGAGGGTAAAATTTTTTAATATGAATATAAACTTACATACTCAAAGTAGAATTGTAGATCACACAAAAATTCTAGATTATAAAATATCTACAGATATATAGATAGATATAGATCATGAAATATTATTTATAATTAAAAAAAACATCGATATAAAAATACCAATTCTCTTTCAGACTATCAAAGTGATAACTAAATGATATTAAGAAACTTCTAGTAAAAAATTTTTGGAAAAAGTTTTTTTTTAAAATTGCATTTCTTGAATGTTTGAACGAAGTTTTCAGAAGCAGTAAACAATAAAAACAGACAAAACAAAAATAATTTTTCATAAACATTAAAATATAGATATATTTTTTTAATAAAAAGAAAAAAAATTACATGGGCTGATTTGATTCGGGTTACTTTCTTAAAAAATCCCAAGCTATTTTTTGATCTCAGTCCAAATCTGTCATAAGTTTTCCCAATCTTTACCAAATGCCTCATATTATAATAAAAATTTCAGAAAACAACTAAAGATCATTGCTTGGTTAAATTGCCACGGCTAAACAGAATTTTAACTTCATCAATTTTAAAACAAAACAGTCAAAATAAACAAAATTTATAAAGTTAAACACTAATAAAACTTCACTTTTTTACTATAATTTAAAAAGAATAACTTCCATACACTAAAATTCTATTTCCTTCTTATCAAGTCTGCTTAACTTTTAATCTGTCAACCCAAACTTCAACATAGACTGCGATGAGTATATATATCTGTAACAGAATACAGTTTTGATCCACGCTTATACAGAATTTACACAAAGATGATACAGTTTAGAAAGTTGATCTTAAAAGCAACTGCGAGTAAGAACAAGTACCAAAAAGATATATGAAGTAGTGTAGTAGTAAGAATAATAATATTAATTTAAAGTGTGTTTATTAAATTACACAATAAAAAATACTTTATGTTGAATGTTATTTCTGGCTTTTCATTGCTTTCAGCATATATGCTAACATCAAGTTTTTTCTGATTTTGACGAGGGGGGAGGAGGGCAGAATTCAAGCTATTTAAAACGGAATATTGATAGATTTTAACCATAGAGAAAATAATTAAATATTTTTTAATGCAAGAGAATTTGTAAAGCACAGATAATATAAAAAAATTACTCACAAGATGAATGGGAACAGATTTCAGTTTAGTCCATGATATCTGAAAAGCAATTAAAAATATAATTAAAAAAAGTCAGTTTAAACATAGTATTGCACCAAATCTTTTAATTATGACCAAAACAAAAAATTCATAAAAATAAAAGAGACAAAAATAGCAAATTAGACCAAAGTATAAAATATAGTTTTCATTATCTTTTTAAATCTGTGTTCGCCTCTGATTCATAGAAAAACATAGAAGATTATATTGAGCATTGCATTTATCTATCTACAAGAACTTAATGGGACCAAATGAGTGCATCAAATACTAACTATAGTAACTATATGAGTGCATCAAATACTAACTAACAGTACTAACATGCATCAAATTTCGAAAAAGTATTTCATATTATAAATTGAAATAAGAGCACTTTAATAGTAATTCATTCTTTGAGATTGTAATATTTATTCAAAGGTGATTATATGATTAAAAAGACATGATTTATAATATGCCACTAATATTGAACTCTCACTTTAATTCTAATCATTAGGATTGAAACTGAAACATCTGATTTCGTTGAATTTTAATTATTATAATTGTATTAAGACTAAATAGTAATTAAATTTATAGTTAATGCTTTTATTTAACCGCCACATAAATTTAGTTAAAACAGTTTACAGCACCAGATTCCCCACCTAAGTGAAGAATTTCTTTAGTCCTCCACTTCGTGGAGGTTCTATAGAAATTAATAAAAATAAAATCGGTAAATACCACACAACTGTTACAACACTATGTATTGATTTTGTCAAATTTTTTACACCTATTGTTGCAACAACTACAGATAATTTTAAAATATTATAAAATTCAAAAATGAAATAAGCATTAACATTTCGAATATGGCATTTAGCCTATTATTTTGACCCACTTGTACCAGCCATATGAAAATAGTTAGATCTAAATTTAATAAACTATTTCGGAAAACTTCATTTAATTTCATTAAATTTTATGTTTTTAGTAGGATTTAATTTAGATTAACCAACAAACATAGTTTAAGACATCAATGGATTTTCTTCCTCTTACAGCATCATTTTTAATTAATCAATACCTTTTAAGTTATTAAAAATTTCATCAATTATTTTTTAAATTTTGTGGTGCAATCATCTTTAAAATTCATTATTAAACCATAATTACTTTTACATATATTTTGACATTACAATTTTTAAAGAAACATGCATTCTGGATTCATCTAGTTTTTAAAATGTGAATGACTGCCCTTTGTCCGTAGATTACATAAAGAAAACTTTCAAGTCACCATGGCTACAAATGTTTCAAATTTTTGCCACGAAGTATTAAAAAAAAATAATTCTAAAACACTTCATTGCCACTAAGTCTCATGTTTGCAAGTCCAATGGATTTTTATGTTTTGTTAAACTTCAATTGTTCTTTCATCATTTTAAGTGGTTGAGTTATCAGTAGAAATGTAAGCCACCTCCTCATTGGTAAAGCCAGTTTCACACACTCCAAAACGCTTAGTACGGGATAGCAAAGAAACCCCAATTTTCCTATGGATCACGAGGAAACAATGCCCAACAAAATATTACTTAAAATTAAAGATTTAAAAGTTCCAGAATCAAATCCCTCCCATAGTAATTATAAGTGAAACAAACAAGAATAATATGCATAACCTACCAGCTATTACTATGTGCTTCATGGATCAAAATTGCTAAGGTACTGAAGTTGCTTGCTTAACAATTACTTAAATTATTTTCATGCAGATAAACTATCACTAAATGGAAACATTTTTGCTTCAATCTCCTAACAACCCTGGTTATTTACAGAACACTCAAAGGCAAATGAGTAACAGCTATTTGCCACTTAAGCATCTTTTAAAGACTGGTAAAAATTTTCTCCAGTTGAAGGCATATTAGTAGTTACAATTGTTATAATGAATGAGCAACTAAGTATAATACCCCTTGATAGTTATAGCGATTAAAAATTAGTGTTCCAAACTTTAAATACATCTATAGAATTATTAAAACATCTCAATTCTGCAACTCTTATTGTTTTATAGAGCTTAAGTGAAAGTAACAAAGACATAATTACTTTTCCCCTTTTCCTCAAAAAAGGTGTAAAAATTTTTTTCAAAAAACTTTTTTGTGAAATTACTCTTATTGAAGTACTGATCAATGTTTCAAAACAGCCTTTGTTTACTTCATTACCTGATACAATACTTTGTCATATCTTTAGATTGAGTTTTATTTTCCTCCTTTACTTTATTTGCCATTTAAAAAAAACATTTGATAAAATAACATAATTATAATAAATAAAAAAATATAGATTTTCCCTTAGTTGAAAAAAAGCATATTTTTATTCTTTTTTTCATTCCTTTTTTTTTTATCAATTATTATAAATTTTTTTAAAGAATGACTAATCCATCAAAATCAACTCTATTGAAATGGCACGTTTTCAATTTTTCATGTAAAAAAAAAAATATTGCTAAAATTCTTAGATAATGAAATTGTCATATCCTACATAATGTTTCGCCTTTTTTAAAAATTGTTTTCCAAGCTATTCCAATAAAAAAAATTACTAATTAATATGGAATGTTAAAACAATGTTTAAATAAATGGAAACTAATATAATGATGATTTATTAATACAGCAAAGCAAACAAACAAAAAAAAATCAGATTTGAGTAACAAATTAAGACTGTTATATAGTGTTAAAACAGTTAGAGGCTGCATTAACTTTTTCAGAAATAAAACATAATCATGAAAATTTAAAATGCTGATATGTATTAATACTATTCAGACAAAGATACCTCTGAAATAAAAAATTAAGAAAAACATGAGAAATAATTTCTATTGAGGAACTATGTTCTTAATTTGAGTTGATGATTGATTGGGAAATAAAAGTATAGGAAAAATCTCAAATGAAAATTAAAGATTAAAGCAACCTTAAAACAAAATTGCTTTAAAAGATATATACTTTTAATCAAACAGTTAAATTAATATTTTCTTTTAATCGAAATAAAAATTAAGTCTTTTAAGATAAGTAGTAATAAACAATAATAAAATAATTTAATAAGTAGTAATAAATGTACTAATAGAATATATACTTAGTTAAACTCATTTATAACAAGATCATAAGAACCAAGAGAAAATTTGGAGCTCGCGCAATGAGCTAGATCAGCGGTTACCAATTGGCGGTCTGTGGGCCTCATCCGGCCCGCGAAGCCTTTTTTTGTGGCCCGCGAGCTAAAATATATTAGTTGTCATTTTTTACGAACAATTTTAGTAAAAAATCTATATGGGTTTAAAATACTTTTCTTTCATTAAAAAAAAAACCTAATTTCTTCATTTCTGTGAAATTTAACAAACCAAAGGCTCAAAAAAATTTATTTCTCAGATGTTGCATCCAAGAAAATATTTATTCAAATCCAAAAATAATGGTGTATGTTGCTTAAAAATCTACTTCTAATTTTAATTTGTAATTCAATATGTTTGTTTTATACAACTTCATAAAAATCTGACAGTAATATTTAATGTTCCTCCAAACATAAAAGTGTCCTATATAAAATTTTGATAAAGTTGCGGCCCGCCATTTGACTGGCGTCTTTAATTGCGCCCCCTGGCCTCGTGTAAGTTGGAAACCCCTGAGCTAGATCATTAAGATAGGGACTAGAGAAATAATCTACAAACCTGAAGTGTAACATGATTGCAAGTAGCTTTTGTTAAAGACAGCCAAGCAGGAAGTTCTAGTAATTCTGTCAGCACTTTTTCATTCAGTTCCAAATTACGCAATTCTCCATGACCTTTCAAAGTACTTATGTGTAGCTTGTCTGGAGATAGATTTTTGGCAAATCTATACATTAAAGAAAAAAATTTTTTTGATAATATTATAATACAAAAAATGTTAAGTGTAAATAAATAATTCATATGGCAGGTAAAGAGATGATGTACAGATTATGACACGTAATAATAAGTGTAAAGAAATAATTCATATTCATATGATTACAGAACTAGATCAATACATAAACTATAGTCTATTCAAAGAGAACTGGTCGCAAAAAAAATTAGGCAAAGCAACACAACATTTGTATGCTTGGCAATCAGATGAGGGAAAATCATGTCAGACTAACTAACGAATGCACGAGGTTTCTTTTTGTTAGTTTGTTGCGTCGTGGTATCATTCTCTCTTAAAGTGTCCCGAAAAGAAAGAAATTCCGAGTTCTCTGAAAAAGAGGCAGAAAAGAATCTTTTTGTGTATTCTTATTAAAAATTCGCATTTTCTTTTTACCTTATTTGAAAGTGACATTTCAGAATAAATGAATAATTAAATAGCTTAAATCAAAACAGGCAGAAAATGCAGTCCAATTTAATTTATTGTTTTTTTTAATTGAAATAAAAAATTAATGTTTGTAGTTATTTTCCCCAGTAAGTGCCTTTTTATAATTTTTTTTTCTTGCTTCAATATTGGATACTCTTTTCTTAATTTTAGTGCTTTTTTCAACTAAACTTTAAAATTTGTGTACACTGTATAGTTTTTTTTTTGTATGGAAAAGAAAGCATTTGAAGTTTTTCTGCAAAATATGTAGATTAATATGCAATTGTTAAAGAGAGAGATTAAAAATGTAGGTCAATTTCCTTTTGCTGTTTTTGTTTGTTAGAGATAATTGTATAGTGATAGGTTCCTTTAACTGAATAATTAAAGAGGTTGGATGAATTAAATAACTCAGATCAAAACAGTCTAATTAATTGCTTTTAATTCCTTTAAAAAGAAAATCACATTTTATAATGCACATTCAATTTTTCCAAATTAAAAAAAAAATCTCTTTTTTTAAACTTTATTCTATTACTAATGATGTGTTCGATTTTTGTGTGCAAACTGACTGTTATATTCAATTCGAATTATTTCTTTTTAATTTTAATCTGTTGCTAAGAATTGTTTTATCAAATAGTAAATTTTCTATGAACAACAGAAAGAAGTGAAAAGATGGACACATGATAAAACAAATTAAATTTTAAATTGTTTGAAAAAGAAAATGATTTAACATAATTAAATAAAAAGATGCAGGTGGGGAAATAGCCTTCAAAAATGTGTGTTCTACTTTTTTTTTTACGGTTGTAGACCTAAGAGGGAAAAATATACTTTAATTGTGAAACATAACAAAAATGAGGTTCACAACCTAACTTCTTTTTAATATTAACCCCTTAATGATCGGTTAATTTTCAAGAAATTGGTCATAAATGGGCCGATTTTTTTTTGGCTTTTGCATTTGTATTACGTATTTGATTAATGCTGCAACTAGTTTAAAATAAACTAACTATTTACAACTACCTTAAAAATATTCTGGTACTGCCATCAGGTGTGTAAAATGAGAAATAAAATGTTTTCCGCGCAAAAGAAATGAATTAGTCTTATTGGCACGTTACTACTGAACACTCCAGCCCGTCAATGTCACGGGAGCGAGAAATAGCAAGCGAAATCTCACCCCGTCATTTTCACAGGAGCGAGAAGGAACGGGTTAAATGGACATTTTTTTCTTAACCCAGATAAACCTTTAAGATACACAAAAGTCCCAAGCTAATTTTAAGGTAGATAATTTTCAAATTCCTACTTCAGAAACTTGAAGAAAATAATAGAGTTATAATTCTTTAAACTTTATTTTTTGTATTTAAACTGATGTTAAATCGGAATTTCAAAGGAAAAAAACAAACTATTCTTACTTAATCAAATAGAATCGACCAATCAGCAATTACTTGCCAACTTTCCACATTAGTTCCTGCTGAACGAACTATATAACAGCATTAAAAACTTATATTTTAAAACACTTTTCCCAGATTCATCCTACACAGTGCTGTAAATTAGATTAAGATTTAATATAAAAGTTAATAAAAATATATACTTAATTTTTTTAAATATATCCCCAAAAATTTGTTTCCCTAGAAGAAATTAAAAGTATTGGCTTTTCATTAGTACATGTTTTACAATCTAGAGTCTGATCAACACGACTTAATTGGGTCATGAAAAGAAATAAAAGAGTTATATAGTTTCAAATTTGAAGTTAAATAAAGCTTTGTCTTCAATATGAACAAGGTTTTATAATTTTTCAACAGAACAATATATCCAATGAAATTTTGATTAAGATCAACCATTTTTCCTTAAAAAAAACTCGTATAATTAGTTAAAACCTTATCATAAAATATGACCAAAGATTTCTCTAGAAATAAAAAAAGGCAGGCTGCTTGAGTCTAAAATAATTAACACCAGTTTTGAATGACTTTAATTTAATGATATAAGAAAAATTTAAACAAATTATAAAATGCTTAAAGGGATATTCAGACAAATAACAAAGCTTAAAATATTAATTTAGCATAGAAAACAATTTACAGTAATTGTGCTATGTCAAATAATAATAATAATTTTAAAAAAAGAAGAAGAATCATATTAGTTTTCTCAAATGGCATTAACAAAAAGGGAAAGAAAGATGCGTTTATCAATGTGAAAAGGCAAAAAGGTACGCACCCACTGTAGGGTGGGAGTAATTTGCTTTTATTGAAATTATTCCCACTATCTAAAGTTTTTTAATTCTTGAAAACATAGTTTTTCTATTCTTCTAATTTTTCACCTGTAACTTAAAATTTTTCTTATAAAGAATGGGCACAATTTGGGAAACTCACTTTGAGATGAAACTTGATATTTTAGTAATATACCCCAACTTAAAATAACCACTTAAAAGAATACTAGCAAGCCATTTAAAAAGAAAATACTTATTTGAAAATTGAAGGAAACTGTATACTAGTTAAATCTACACTCCAATAAAGATGGGAGAGTGGTTTAAAAGCAGGGAACGTGCCCCACGAAGAGACACTCACAGTTTGAATCTTTTAGATGTTTCTTTTTCATCCTTTTACATTTTTCCCCAATAGTAGAATATTTGTTTGAAAATAGTCAAACAAGCAGTGCCCTCTCCTTTTTAGAAGGAAACTGCGAATCTGTAATTCCCCCATAGATTTGTAAACACACCTCTCACGGAAGATGCAAAATGTGTATAAATTTGTAAATTTTAAAGTGAAAGTTACAGAAATGTAAACATCCAAAAACCTTATTAGAAGTTTAAACCAATGTTTATGAATAGTGCATCTCGCACGCATGTTTATTAATCAAGGGTTAAAAAATTATACCACTATTAGCATATAAAACTAAAAAAAANAAAAAAAAAAAAAAAAAAAAAAAAAAAAAAAAAAAAAAAAAAAAGAAAGTGATATGAATATTGCCTATGCAATAGATTTCCTCAAAGAACCTTGAAGCATAATTAAAGAGGTTTATAACATAAAACATCAGTCTATAATAAAAGTTATGCTTTTATCATAACTAGCTTAACAACACACTACTTTTATTTTCCTAAAATGAAAGCATAAAGTTGACCAAAATAAAGTATAAAATTGATCCTGCACCAAAATAAGCGCATAAAAACCTTAAAATAAAACAAATTTAAATGAAGAATGGTTATTAAAATATATCATTTATAAAATGATACATGACAAGAAATAAAAAAGATCAAACACTATTGAAATATATATATTATTTACAAATAATCTTAAACAATAAAAAACATAAAAATAAAAGTAATTTAAATCAATAATTCCAAGAAATGTTTTCAACAAAAAATAGTGTAACAAATAAACATTAATGATGATAAATTCAAGTAAAATGTTTCCGACTAGATCAATAAAATTAAAAAATTTCATCCGACTACTTATTAGATTAAAACATTTAAATAAAACTTATTACCTTTAATAACACAAAAACAAACTAATCGCATAATTTTACTTTAAATAACCTTAAAAATGGATTGTGCTGCAATTTGAATTCGTCCAAAAATATTCTTAAAATTTCCTTTTTTATGGAATTAATTTGTCCTAGATTTCGAAAAAAGTACGTTTTTTATTTGCTTCAAAATATACTAAAATTTTTTTAAAACCTTAGAATCGTATAGGGAAAATAATTACTTGGATAAGTGCTTAAGCACTTGATTCTTGAAAATGGAAGCCATCAATTGTTTATGTTAGAAATTCATGAATATTGAAAAAAATAAAATAAAAACGGAAAGACATTAAAAATGGTTTTTTTTTATAAACAGGACAAGTGAACAAATGTAGTCAAATGTGACGATTTAATCATTTTACAATAATCAACAAAAAAAATTCCGAAACTGTCACCCTTACAGATGTTTACGATCTGCAGTCTAACAGTTACAGTTATTAAAGAAGCAAATAAATTTGCAATTAACATGACTTGACTTTTTCACGAGCGTTGCTTAATAAAAAAAATAAAGTATGTGAACCATAAAATATTCCTTTACGAAAATAAATATATATATAGTAGTTTATAAAAAATTAAAATATTACATATTTGTACAACACAAAAAATTTCAATTCGTAGTTCGTAATATTACATTTATTCGACGCACTCAACTTTAATGCATTTAATTTTAACTTAAACCCATTTATAAGATATATTTATTCGAACGAATAAACTCGCAGACGAGTTTTATGTGGAAATCGAAAGTCCATGAAAAGAAAGTACTGGAAAGTTCTGCTACTTCTACTAGAAATCGTTGTTTGAAGCGGGGACTTACTTGTTTGCACTCTGCATTTACCATTAGCTAATCAATCAATTATTTATTAGTAAAACACCCTTTCACTTAATAATTTTGGAATACTTAATATTATTTATTTTTTTGTTTAGGGTAAGTATATTTTTTAATTCATTTTGTCTCATGATGAGTGCCGATTCTTATTGTTGGTTTCGCCGACATTAATTTTCTGCGAATATTTTAATTGCATTTTTTGTTTTTCAATGCTAATTGTAAATGCGGAAGCCTTTAATTTTTGCCAAATAACTGTTTACATGTCATAAGGTTCAAATGGTATAGGTTCGCAGTATTAATAAAATTATGTCTCAAGTTTTAGATCTGCAGATCTAAATCAATATTTTTTTTAAATATTCTGCCGTGAATTGATAAAAGGAATAAATTTTAAAGAATTGTGTTCTTAAATGTTTTAAATTATATCACAATTTTGAACCATGAACTGGGGTAAAGTTGCTCTGTCTTTTCTATAAAGTCGTGTGTTTTTAAATACAATTTTTAAAGAAAGAAGCGTGCTTTTTATTTTTGGTGTTGCTGACTTTGATTTCGTGTCTGAACAGCATTATCGAAAAATTTATATTCTTTTAAAAGCTTAATTGGGTTTTATGGAGTACTTCAAAACCTTTTAATTGATTAAAACTTGTTAACCTGAGACTCATAAGTAAATAAAATATTAAAAAATACTTAATTAATTTTTTAAAAAATAAACCCTCAAAGCCCAGTTGGTTGAGTTTTTTTTTTTTTTTTCTTTCTTAAAAAGTCTGACTCTGTTACCTTTCACTGATATAATTATACAATAATTTAATATATTATTATTTCCTTGTGTAAAATTTTGCCCAGTTAGCATTTTTTAAATATTTATTAATGTTTTAGGTATGGGGAATATTTTAAGTCCCTTTTTGCGGTCAACTGATATCACATAGGTGTTAAATAAAATTACCACATATTGGCTTGAGAGTTTTTTCTTTCAAGTTAGCCCTTTTCTGTGATTTTTTCCTTAGATTCTCGCATGTCACTACCTGTGCCTCCCTGAAACTTGACAATAATCTTATTTGTACCATATTTAATCTGATTGTCTTTTTCTAAGTGAAGATAATTCTTATTCAGATAATTATAATATGTCGTTATTGTTGAAAGCGAATTTTTCGATTTAAGGTGTCATTTTTTAAAATTCACAATTTAGATCAATTCTGCCGTAAATCCACATAGTTTATGGATTGTTTTTCGCCAGCTGTTGTTGCTTGACTATTTCAGCATTTTTTTATTCTGATGCAGGGGTCTGTCTGTCAAAGCCGAATTTCCTACCGTTTAGCAGTACCTTTAGGAAAACAGTAGCTTTTAAAACTGTTCACAAAATACTTTTTCTTAAAATATAATTTTTTTATCCCATAAGAAATGATAAATCCATATTTTTTTGTTGATTTTTTAATATAATTTTTAATTTTCACAAATTATGTCTATATAGGTACCTCTCAGAAAAACCTAGATGGACCCCGAAATAGCTATCCATCATTACAAGTTAACTCTAATAGCTTGATTAACTGGCATACGGTGTTTAAAAATACTTGTTTTCTTTCCTAATTTTTTGTCATTCTCTCAAATCTTAGAAAACTGTAAATTTTTTTGTTAAGTATGGAAAAATCACATGAACTAATCACCTTTTAAAGTTACAAAATAATCCTCTAAATATTAATGAGAAATTTTGAAAAGTGCAAAACACTGAAAGTGTCTCTTCTATTATTGTAGGGTAGTGTATATTTGTTTAATCACCCAATGATATTAACTATCAAGCTTAAGTTTTTGTTTTTATGTGTAAGCTATATTTATAACTAATGTGTTGTGATGCAGAAAGTTTGAACATAAGCTGTTAATAAATGATGTCTAAATTCTTAATAAATGTTTATTTTAGATACTTGTCTTGTGTTAAATTTGTTATTAAGATGGAAACTGAAACCCAGAATTACAGTCCTGGTCCAAATGCAGAGGATATTACTCCTGACAAAAGCAAAGGTGTTTTAAAGGAAATAATTACTCCTGGAGTAGGGGAAGACACTCCTTGCAAAGGCAATAAAGTCTCTGTTCATTATACTGGCAAATTGTTAGATGGCACCAAGTTTGATTCAAGTGTTGATCGAGGGGAGTTCTTTGAATTCAATCTTGGAAAAGGTAATTTTTGACCCCTCAATTTTTCTTGATTTTTTTTTTTTTAATTGAGACTTGCCACTAAGACAGCAAGTAATTAAAATTACTAAATGTTGTTTATATATGTTTTCAGGTGAAGTTATCAAAGCATGGGATGTTGGTGTAGCTACAATGAAAAAAGGAGAAAAATGTATCCTGTATTGTCATCCAGATTATGCATATGGCAAAAAGGGTAGTCCACCTAAAATTCCTGAAAATGCTACTTTGGTATTTGAAGTTGAACTGTTTGATTGGCAGATGGAAGATCTAAGTCCTGAAAATGATAAATCAATATTGCGTTCTTTAATAGTTGAAGGTGAAGGCTATGCTACTCCTGGAGATGGCTCTAATGTGGAAGGTATTTATTTATTTGCATAATTAATCAGTTTTAAATTGGTTTTTATTCATTTGTGTCCATTTTATTATTTTATATCTTTAGTGCCTATCAATAGTTAGTCTAGTTTTCAATATATTGGTTTTCTTGAAATAGGTTTTATATAATTTTATTTTTGATCGTTCTTCCCATTTTTATACTAACTTTATTTTTCATTGAGCTTTTAGCGTGAAATTTTGCTATTCATCAACCTTATTATCTTGTGACAAATTTTATAAACATTTGGTCCATTCCAGAATAAATTAAAATAATCTTAATTGTAATTTGTCTTTATTTGTTTGTTAACTTGGAAAACGAATTGAAAGAAAGAGTATTGTTCAGGGAGTTAAGATATTAAAAAGATTAATTCATTTTTAGCCATTAAAATCTTTTTATTTTCATTAATATGTCAGGCATGTGATTCTTTTTCTAAATTGCGGAATGCCTCGAATCTCAAGACTGTTAATTTGTTAAATCCCTTTTGCGAATCAATAATATATATTTTGACAAAATTTTCTCAGACTTCTCCTAATCTAAAATTTGAATTTCGCTACTTACGCAAAATCTCGTTAACGAGACATTTATACCACGTTTACCAGCACCCTTAGGCTCTTGTTCGAAATAGTTTGACCAATCAGTCGAATCTTCCATTGTATTATACTTTTTCCCAACTGTATTATACTTTTACTCCTGTATTATACTTTTTCATTATGTAAAATTTAAGCTCAAGGTTCTTACTTTTCTAGATGAGTAACGTACCTCTTTAAATATTTATTTTAAGAAGAAAGATTTATGCAACTAAACTTATTACTGTTAGTTCTTATTCAGACACATAAATACTAAATTAATTGATGAATAATAAACTAAATCATTAACTAACTTCATCGTTAACTAAACTTATTACTGTTAGCTCTTATTCTTACACAATAACAGCTTTTTTTTCTACACACACTTGTTAGAGTTAAAACGAAACTTTGAATAAATGAGACTGAAAAAAAATTTTAGAGTTAAAACGAAACTTTGAATAAATGAGACTGAAAAAAAACTTCATAATAACATATGCCAGAATAATGAACTACTGAGGCAAGCACAAAGATATAAAATTAATAAACTAGAAAGTAATTCTAATTTTAATGACTCGCTACTATTGATATGTAACAGAAAAATCATTTAATAAATGTTTTTTATTTGGCTACAATTTGATCAAATTTTTGGCATGGAAGTCCTGAATCTAGCATCTCAACACACTCGATACCATCATTAATCCGTGTTTCGATCTTCTCTTTTACAGTTGATGCAATTTTCTGGTGGTTTTTAAAATTCTGATGTTATTACGACATGCAAAATTCAATTTGTGTATTTATTAGTCATTTTTTATGCAACAATACAGATTTTTTCAATGAACTTTTTCGCAGTTGCTACAGATATCCACATAGTTTTAAATCCTAATTATTTTTCAGTCAATATTATTAAGAAACAAAAAAATTCGCTACATACATTTGTGTTACTACTTTTTGATGTGCTCCATTTTTGCAAAATCCATACGGTGTTTTGATCGGGGATTTTTTGGCAGTTATTGCTTGCTGTTGATTTTCACATGATTTTTTAAATTCTCAATATTATTATGATACTAGAAATTTAAATTGTGCTTGTGAATATTCATTATTTGACACAATAATTCTATCATTTTTATTTTATTTTTTTTAATCCATTTTTTTGCTGTTATCACTACCAGGGGTCTGTTCAGAAGAAATTTGGCTCCATTAACGAACCCTTCACAAAATATCCTTTCATAAAAGCGGACCGAATATTTTAACTTTAAAGCGGACCCTTCACAAAATGATTTTTCTTTCAATCGGACCCTTCACAAATTTGTTTATCTTCATTATTGTTTTGTTAATTGAATAAACCCTTCCCAGGGCAGAAAACAAGAAAGATGGGTGTAAACGAATTAAGTTTTGTCTTCGGCAGACGATTCTTCTATTCTTCTTCCGAAATGAATATTCTGCATTCAGCAGTATAGGCTAAATACCAAATATTTGTTTGTTACATCGCTAATTTAGTAGCTGCAATTGCTGTTTATTTTTTAAAAATTAAATTTTTTAATCATAATTTAACAGTGTTGAGCATAATCTTGTATGTCTTTACAATTTAAAAACTCCTCGAAAAAATTTTTTTTGCAATAACGAACCCTATTTGCTCAAGTTCACAAAAGCAGACCCTGGTTGTGATAGAATGTGACTTAACATTTATTTTATCTTCACAAATTAGGAGTAATTTTTTCACAATTTTACAAAAAACGGACCTTTCACATAATGTCTGGGCAGACCCCTGACTACTGTTCTATGTATATTTTTTTTAAATCTATATATTTTTAATATGATATTTATTACAACACTTGAATTTATTACAACACTTTTTGACTCATCAGGTAGTGAGATTTTGTCGTGAATACCCATGGTTTTTTAATGTATATTTTCTTTTATGTGCTTAAGAGAGAAAAAAAAATTTAGATAAAAATGAGTTTCTAATCTATCTTCTATGTACAGGAAAAAGAAAACAAACATTGTAAGAAAATTTCAGATAACTTTTTACAGCCATCACATGTCTGATATGGTAATCACTTATTTGTAGCAATAAATGTAGAACCAGATGAAAAAATATGGGCATATTGAATAAAGTGGAGATCTATTGCAAAACACATATTTTCTCTTAAATTTTGGTGTTAAAACTCTTTTAGAGTCATAGGTTGAGATTAGGATTGTAGCAAAATTTTATTTTACTTTTAAACTGTTAACAAGTAATCTTGTTTATGTTAATTCAATGCGTATATTATACTACTTTAATTAGCTGATAGACTTTCTATTAAAATTATTAACTATCTATCCCATATCATACTGTTATCCCATGCTGTTAGTTTTATTCCAAGTTAAGCCTATTTCCTTTATTTGGCTGACATAATCTTAGTGTAATTATTTTTATTCCAGTAAATTGTATTATTTATGCTTAGTTCATTTTTATTGTTTTATTTATTTTTCAGTGAAACTTGTTGGTAAATATGATGGCAAAATTTTTGAAGATCGAGAAGTGAAATTTGAGATTGGAGCAGGAATTGATGTTAATGTTGTAGAGGGTATTGAGATAGCATTGCAAAAGTTTAAAAAGGGAGAACAGTCCAGATTAATTTTGAGTCCAAAATTTGCTTTTGGAGCAGAGGAAAAGAAAGACTTTGGCATACCTCCTAATGCTACTGTTGAATATGAAGTTACATTGCAAAATTTTGAGAAGGTTAGTTGATAATCAAATTTTTATAACTAATTCAGTTTTTAAAAGAATTGATAAATTTTTCGGATTATAACATATACCTGAAAGATGTGTTCTTTGTAGCACAATTCAATAAAATTTAAAAGTAGATGATGAGGGTATATGAAAAATTAGTACCAAGGCAAGCATAATTTTTTTGTGGTGATATTTATTTATATATGTTAATTGAATAAGAATGACTGCCATTTAAAAGTTCTTCCAAGAATTCAACATTAATTTGTTCAACTTAACTTTGGCAACAGTTAAATTTCATTCTGCAATGCTTTTGCTGGAAATGTAAAGGCACCACAGTTAAAACATTTATCACTGAATGTACCAATTTAAAAAGGAGTTTTATTGTCTGATATATACTCACCAATTTAAAACACTCCATTAAGACGTTTTGATTTTTCCATGCTTCTTTGCCAAGCACTCTGCTTTTGCATATTAATATTACTATTATTTTCCTTGCAATAACTTAATAATGTTAATATTCATGGCAATCTTTTATAAAACAACTATTGTTTTTCCCAACAATGTAATTCTAAGAGTATTGTTTAGTAATGTTAATTGTAACATGAACATTTAAGCCAGCAGCATCTATAACTAATTACTGCTGTTTCACCCTCATGCATTCTTAATTTAGTTATTTTACGGAGAAATAATTGTTTTATACTGGTAGCAATCAAAGAAACTGGTGAATTGGCTATTCCTGAAATTTTAGGAGATTCATGTGTTCTCTGGATACTCTGCAAAAACATCAGTTTTACTCAACCTATGCAGATAATGCTGCATCAGCGATAGACGTATGTTGCGGTGAGCTAAGGCCATAATATGATTGCATGATATCAAGCATCAAGATATAAAATCAAGCTTTGAGTGACGTCAACAGTAAAAGCAAATTAAAGAAACTGGTGGGTTGGCTATTCCTGAAATTTTAGGAGATTCATGTGTTCTCTGGATACTCTGCAAAAACATCAGTTTTACTCAACCTATGCAGATTATGCTGCATCAGCGATAGACGTATGTTGCGGTGAGCTAAGGCCATAATATGATTGCATGATATCAAGCATCAAGATATAAAATCAAGCTTTGAGTGACATCAACAGTAAAAGCAAATTAAAGAAACTGGTGGGTTGGCTATTCCTGAAATTTTAGGAGATTCATGTGTTCTCTGGATACTCTGCAAAAACATCAGTTTTACTCAACCTATGCAGATTATGCTGCATCAGCGATAGACGTATGTTGCGGTGAGCTAAGGCCATAATATGATTGCATGATATCAAGCATCAAGATATAAAATCAAGCTTTGAGTGACATCAACAGTAAAAGCAAATTAAAGAAACTGGTGGGTTGGCTATTCCTGAAATTTTAGGAGATTCATGTGTTCTCTGGATACTCTGCAAAAACATCAGTTTTACTCAACCTATGCAGATTATGCTGCATCAGCGATAGACGTATGTTGCGGTGAGCTAAGGCCATAATATGATTGCATGATATCAAGCATCAAGATATAAAATCAAGCTTTGAGTGACATCAACAGTAAAAGCAAATTAAAGAAACTGGTGGGTTGGCTATTCCTGAAATTTTAGGAGATTCATGTGTTCTCTGGATACTCTGCAAAAACATCAGTTTTACTCAACCTATGCAGATTATGCTGCATCAGCGATAGA